AACCTTCACTTGCAGTATTTGTCATGCTACAGGGAAGAGTGATAACATGCAGTCCCTAATATATAGCCTTCCGGGTACTTTGTTAAATACTTAATGGTTGTTTTTATAAATTTGATAGAACTAAAACGGAACGAAACGGTGACCGAGTGGACTAGCGCACACCAGCTCGGAGCACGTGGAGTGAAAGCTCGCGCTGCAGAACCCAGGGACCCTGAGTTTAATCCCCACATCTGCCCGTTTCGATCTGGATGAGCGTCGTACCGGCGTGCGGTCGTGTACCACTGCAAAGGTAGTGCACGTTAAAGACCCCAGGCTAGCGGTACTACTGCACTGGCTAAATCGCTGATCTACAGCTGAGAGGCAAGTCGCCCGTTGAGGCAGACTAACTTCAGGGGTCCTAAACTCGTCAAACACAAAGTTGGGGCCGAAGTTGACGGGACGCACCGATTGGACAATCCCGACGATCACTTTGCGTTTTTGTCTCTGACGTCCAATCGGCGCGCCTCGCGAACTTTCGGCTCCAACTTTGTGTTTGACGAGTTTAGGACTCCAGGCTGTATAAACATAAGCACACTTTTCTTTTTATAGCGAAGCTGTTATACGCTAGGGTCTACGAAACAATGCGTCCTCACATGTCGACAGAAAACTCCTCATCGGTCGTGGCAAGAATGAATAAATAAAAGCAAAAAGGTGTTAGGTATGAATAAATAAAAAAAATGAAAGCCGCTTACAACTCCCTGTAACGCCGAATTAGAGCGCAGCTCTTGAGGAGGAGGAGGGAAGGGCACTGGGGGGGGGGGTTAAACTAACCAGGGGGGGGTCACGTTACCTTGGGGGTCACGTGACCCCCAATGCCGATGATGTCATCACTGACGTCATCAGTGACGATGAGGATGCGGGTACCCATGACGTTATTAATGACGTCACTGATGACTTCACCAGTGATGATGACGATGACGATGCGAATGTCGGTGACGTCATCAGTGACGTCGCTGATGACGTCATCAGTGATGATGACGATGACGATGCGGATGCCGGTGACGACATCAGTGACGTCACTGATGACGTCATCAGTGATGATGACGATGACAATGCGGATGTCGGTGACGTCATCAGTGATGATGACGATGACGATGTGGATGCCGGTGACGTCATCAGTGATGATGACGATGACGATGTGGATGCCGGTGACGTCATCAGTGATGATGACGATGACGATGCGGATGCCGGTGACGTCATCAGTGATGATGACGATGACGATGTGGATGCCGGTGACGTCATCAGTGATGATGACGATGTGGATGCCGGTGACGTCATCAGTGATGATGACGATGACGATGCGGATGCCGGTGACGTCATCAGTGATGACGATGACGATGTGGATGCCGGTGACGTCATCAGTGGTGATGACGATGACGATGTGGATGCCGGTGACGTCATCAGTGATGATGACGATGACGATGTGGATGCCGGTGACGTCATCAGTGACGATGACGTCATCGGGGGGTCACGCGACATCGGCGGGGGCCACGTGACCTCAGGGGAGTCACGTGACTTCGGGGGTCACGTGACCCCCCACGAGGTCACGTGACCTTGGTGGGGGGCTCGCGCGGTGCATTATGGGACATTTCCCATGATGCACCGCGCGGTTACGCCGACGCCGACGGCGACGGCGACGCCGACGGCGACGCCGCTCAAGCCGGAAACGGGCCCCTAAGAGCTGCGCTCTAAAACGAAAAGAGGGGGCAACCAGCGTGAGTCAGCCTTCCTGCATTATTAGATAGTGAGGTCCTGATCTCCATTGTTGTCATCTCTAGGCATCGTCCTCGACGCCGTTTTAGATGTCGTCCTTGAAGTCGTCCCAGACGTTGTCCTCGAGGTCGTCCTGGAAGTCGTCCTTAAGGTCGTCCTTTAGGCGCAGTCCCAGAAGTTGTCCAAGAAGTGGCCCTAGGCGTCGTTCTCGAGGTCGCCCTAGAAGTCGTCTTAGACGTCGTCCTCTAGGCGTCGTCCAAGACGTCGTAAAGATAACAGCTTCGCTGGTCCTCCACCTTCACGTGATGTGGAAGGGCTCTACTATTTTTTTTAATATGCCCTTTTTTATATGGGGCCTTGCACCCTCTCATCTGCAGTGGAATCTATTTAAAATCGCTCCGCTCGTTATATTCGTTCCAACTATCCCCGCACATCTAGCGTCGCCACCATGAAAATATCCCTGTCACTGTCCAATCTCTTACTTCGTAGAACAATTCATCGTCTGAGATTGTTCCACAAGATTTATCACTCTAATCCAACACTTGGTCATGCGCTTTTTTTCCGAACCGTCTCACATATTATCACGTTTTGATAACAAACTAAGAGTTGGAATCGCCCGCTGTAATAGGTTCACTCCCAGTGCTTCTTTTAATGCGTTGGCATTAGAACGCTCGTTATCACAAAAACCCGGCGGTTCCGTTTACCAGGCCCATGCATGACGTCGTGAGGCGAGTGGGGTGGTGGGGGGGGGGGTGTCGTGTTTCCGCGGATTCAGTGTTTCACTACGGCGGTGGGGACAGGGAGGGTGGGTGACGCGTGCTGATGTCAGCGCATTAGACCATACGAGCGTCGCACAGCTGGCGTGGATCCAGAGACAAGCAGGCGCCGCACCGCTTGGGAATGCAGTCCAGCTCAGTGGCCGCTCCGGCGATGATTGTGGTTCTTTCCGCGAGTGATAAAGGGGGTGAAAAAGATTGAAAACGGGTCATAAACGAATGGAAAGGGGTAATATATGACAAGAAAGCGGTGATAAACGAATGGAACGGGGTGAAAAAGTGAATGGGGGTTGAAAGAGGCGATGCTAACACATTTCCATCGGATGAATCCAATTTTTGCCAAGAACCCTCCATAAACTGGAATCGCCTTCCCACAGCCATTGTCGCCATTACCGACACTGATGATTTTGGTTTCAATAACTATTTTTTTCCATTATCCGTCGCATCTTTTTTTTTTTTACATACCTTCAAAAAACTCGTAGCTTCAACTTTTTTTCCGTAATTGCCTTACTTCATTGGATACGCCGTTGCTCATCGGTTGGGAAGAATATGTGGACCTTCAGCACTGCGGCATAATTTCCTCGACACCCCGGCACACGCCACTTTAACACGAAAACAAGGGATTCTGGTCGCTGACGAACGCAGTGAAAACGCAAGTGTTTTGTCTCCTTTTTCCGACGGCCTTCTTCATCACCCGATTGCGCACCTCTACTCCATTTACCCTTAAGCTGAGACTAGAAGCTCCGCCTTTAGAGCGAGCCTTCTGTTCTTGCTAACACAAGTGTGAACAGCACGTGCAATTAAAGCCCTGTGGAAGCCAGCGAGCTCGCGCTATCACGTCGCGTAGCCTCCTTTTACCCTTTTTTTTTTTTTTTTTTTTTGGTCGTTCGAACCCATAAGTTGCAACAAACTTGCACTTCGCCGTTTGACCAAACGCAAGAATGACGGCACATTAAAAAAAAGTACATATTAAAATATATCTTTTTGGAGTTATCTGGCGTGTTTAATCAGCATCGTCGCAGGCGCTTGGCGGTAAAGACTCTCTGCTGGCTCTACACGCTTGGCCTAGGAACAGTGACGTCAGTGCGATCGTGTTCATAGATCGCATCTGGACACGTGGACGGTCTTGCGATGCGCCACATACCACACCAGTCACGTGACGCTGATGACTGCAATCAGATGCAACTAATCAATCGGTGTGTGTGAATAACGGTCAGCATACTCACACTGTGGTGGGGGAGAAGTGCAGGGGCCTTGTTAATTACTGCTGAATTAAGGGCACAGGGTAAGGTAAAATTGAAAAAAAAATCGATTTTAGTTTTTTTCGCAATTTGAAAAGTTTAGTTCTTTCTGCACATTTTCCATTGTCCCAGTGTTTTTAGAAAGCTATATTTCGGGCTGAAAATCACTTCTTCCGAAAGCAAGTAGCAGGTGACCACGCCTCCTTTTGGGATGCACTCCCTGTTTATCGATGAATTTTCCAACAAAACAAAATCAACACAAGACCTAAAAGCTTGTCCAGTAACAGATAATCTCAAAAAATTATTTTCGCAACTATTGCATAGCTTTTTTTTCAACCAAGACAATCACGAGACACTGTGCACGTTTTTCCCAGGTGTGTACGGTGTGTACATTCAAGCGTTTGTATTTTCGTAACGACAAAATGGCGCCATTGAATGCTGTTCCTATATTCAATGCTGGCAGCATTGCACAAGCCAATGTTTTGAAGTTTTGTGCATGGAACCCTGTTTGGAAAGCCATCAAGTGGCTGAGGGAAGTTGACATCACTCGAATATACTTTACGGACCAAGCGACATGGCAGGTCACAAAAGAGGCCCGGCAAGCAAGGCGATAAGCCTAAAGGCGAAGACATGACTTTAGCAATGCCTTTCAAGCTGGCGGCTATTGAAAAAATGACTCTGAGGCTGTTGGTGCCAATAGAAATTCGTTATTCACCAGTTTTTTTACTTTAATCTCAATTATCTCAAAACAGTGTTTTTTAGTACATAGGTACCATTTTTTCCTTAACCTGACATTATAGAGGGTTGATTTTTTATTCCTACCACATACATGGGTGTTCAAAAATACTGAACTAAAATTAAAAATGTGCACCTAGCAGTTTTTGAGTTACAAAGTTTTTAATAGATGAAAAAAACTAAAATTTCAGTACTATAATAAAAAAAAAAAAAAAACTTATTTTAGATTGGTTCAAATAATTCTAGTTCAGTGGATAAAACACAATATTTCGAACAAAATGATATATACATGACAGGAATACTCCTAATAGTCCCCGAGAAAAATGTTCCTCAACATGGCCTCAAATGCATGGGGAGTATAGGACTTACCCTGTGCCCTTAAGTAAGAAGCAACATCGACAGACGTGGAATGTCATAGACTGTCATGCATGCTTTGTTCCACTTCTGCTGTGTTCAGCAAGCCACTATTAAAACATGAGTGACACAGACACACTAGTTTCTTTCGATTCTTTATTCAAAATATGCCCAAAGTACACACTAAAAGAAAAGCTCGCATAGTGTTCCTGTGCCAAGCTAAACTCACTGTTGTTCCCCTTTTTTTATTTTTTTTTTTTACATCATGTGCTACCAAACCAACCTCACTCAGACAACGCTTTTTTTGCCAAGCACCAAAAGCAAAGCAGCATCAATATATTTTTTTATGTACAAACAAAACAAACAATCGGATATGCAAGCCCTCAGTCGTCATTATCGCTATCTTCCTCGATGTTGGGACTGGTTGGGCTGTAGGTCGGCGAAGATGGGGAGTACCCCGGACTGGTCGGGGAGTAACTGGACCCCTTGGGACTTGTCGGGGAGTAAGTAGGCGATGTAGGGGAATACTTCGGCGATGTTGGGGAGTATGTTGGTGACGTGGGGGAGTACTTCGGGGATGTCGGCGAATACTTCGGAGATGTAGGGCTGTACTGGGGTGATGTCGGGCTGTACTGCGGCGACGTTGGACTGTACTTCGGTGACGAGGGGGTGTAAGTTGGGCTCGTCGGGGAGTACTTGGGGCTCGTGGGTGAATACTTCGGGCTCGACGGGGAGTAGGACGGCGAAGTTGGGGAGTAGGTCGGGGAGGTCGGCGAGTACTTGGGGGAAGATGGGGTGTACTGGGGAGACCCCGGAGAGTAACTCGGGCTCGTTGGGGAGTAGGAAGGGGATGTCGGGGAATACTTGGGGCTGCTTGGAGAGTAGCTCGGACTCCCCGGCGAGTAACTGGGACTCTGGGGGGAGTAATTTGGAGAACTCGGAGAATAGGAAGGGCTGGTCGGGGAGTAAGAAGGAGAGGTCGGAGAGTAGGATGGGGAAGTCGGAGAATAGGACGGGGAAGTCGGCGAGTAAGATGGGGAGGCAGGAGTGTAGTTCGGGGAGCTGGGAGAGTAACTGGGGCTGGTAGGGGAGTACGAGGGACTCGTGGGAGAGTAGGACGGCGAGGTCGGAGAGTAACTCGGACTTGTCGGGGAGTAAGATGGGGAAGTTGGGGAGTAGCTCGGACTCGTGGGAGAGTACGAAGGAGAGGTGGGAGAATAGGACGGAGACGTCGGCGAGTAACTCGGGCTGGTTGGAGAGTAGCTCGGACTCGTGGGGGAGTAAGACGGCGAGGTGGGGGAGTAGCTCGGCGATGTCGGCGAATAGTTGGGGGAAGTTGGGGAGTAAGAGGGAGAAGTCGGAGAGTATGACGGAGAGGTGGGGGAATAGGTCGGGGAGGCCGGAGTCATGGAGGGAGACGAAGGGGCGTACGCCGGCGAAGACGGGGAGTAGTTCGGCGACACCGGGCTCGGGATGTAAGGGGAAGCCGGGGAAGAAGCCGGAGATCCCGGCTGTGGAGACCAGCCCGGGCTGAGGCCGGCACTGGCCGGACTGTAACCACTTGCGTCGCTGGCGGCAGACGGAGAGAACCCGGCAGCGCCTGGAGTCATGCCGCTGCCCAGTCCAGGGGACCAGCCACTGCCGTAGGACGGAGTCGCTCCCTGACCCCATGGGGTCATCTGGGGGGACATGCCGGCCAAGGGCGTGGCCGCGCTGCCAAAGAACACTCCGGGGCCTCCTGTCAACAAGAAAGACCAAAAACACACTTTAATGATATGTTTGCAACCACAGAAAAACTGCTGTACTAGTGCTCAGTGTAATGCAAGGAGTGAGAAGTGTAAAGCTATCTATGGGTTGCATGCAGAAATGCATGCATATGCAAAACAGCAGAAAAGAACTCACCCAGGGGGCCCATCATGCCAGGCAGGTTCATGGGAATCTCGATGCCGTACTTGCACTTCTCGGCATCCAGCATCAGGTCGAAGCAACCCGTGCCCATGCGGGCCAGCTGGCCCATGATGATGTTCTCCGACACACCCTTCAGATAGTCCACCTCAGCGTGCGATGCCGCATCTAGCAGCACATCCACCTGCGGGTTGGCGTTACAATCGATTAACCGCAGACCCAATTAATTGAGTGGATCTGCCATGGTGTGTCTACAACAAAAAAACCTTACTCATTTCTTGGCAGCATTGCAAAGCTGAAAGCAGGGGTGAGACAGGTGAAGCAGGTTATGGTGAAATTTTTGGAGCAGAAAAATATGAATTTTGGAGCAGCTTAGGAGCAGAAAATTCTCGTTTTTGAGCAGCAGTTTATGCATTTTGGAGCAACTTCGAAGCACAAAAGTTTACAGTTTGGAGCAGATAAGGAGCAGAAAATGTTAAAGCAGCTTATCAGCAATTTAAATAATAAAAAAATCTGATTAAATCATATAAATCATTATTTTCTTTTTAATCATTATTTTTGTCCACCCTGGTTCTAATAAGTCATCAGTGCCGATACGCACCGAAATAAAATATAAAAGAAAAGAAAAAAAAATGAAAAAGGCAAACGCGAGTTTCATGCGCATAGATGAGGACAGGAAACACGGGCTTGCTGCAAAGTTAGGTAGGCACCAGGTACCTCAAGCTTATACAAACTGGTGCCAAAGCGCAATTGTAGTGCAACACTTTTTAAAGCGGTGATTCGAGAGCATGAACAGGGAAGCACGGTTTACTACAACCAGAGATCGATCGGACGCTTGTAGAAAGCACGTGTAGATAGAAAAAAAAAAACTCCCCGCAAAAGTGAGTCACAAGGTAACTAGTGAACTGGGACGAAAACTATGAGCACCAGATGCACACTAAATGCGGGTGTGTGACCGATTCATTCCACTGCTTACGCAGTGGAAGCACGTGTGTGATAACCAAAAGTACTCACGGCGATGGTGCCGTTCATTTTGACAAGATTGCAGACACGAATGAACAATTACACAATGGAGGCGCTCAATAGCGCTTTTAAGAAAATGTTTACTCTCAAAACGAAAGAAATACTTAGGTTTGGGCATCTTGATAGCCTGTGCATCGTACCTCCCGCGGTCAGACAGCGAGACCGCGTAACAGCGCACCGTTAGCATGCAGCGCATGCAGTCACAAATGACAGCGGAAAGTAGTAGGAAAATCAGGAAAAGACCACGTATATGTGGTCTTTTCCCGATGTTCCTACTACTTTATATCATAGGCATAGAAGGGTACTACAGCTGAAATCTTCGAATCTGGAGGTTGCTTGCGCCACCCTGTACCCGTGCCGTGTACTTTACTACGACGAGATTGAATGTTGCCAACCAAGCCCTTGTTTCCCGCTAACTCTAGCGTCGCCGCAAACATTTTTCTTTAGTTTTCGAGTTACTTTGGTGCAGTGTGGCGCAATTTCGACCGATTTCGCGTTTTTGGCGCAACTAGGCGCAGAAAATTGTGTTTGTATCGAAATGGTGCAATTGGTGCAGATGTCACACCTCTGTGAAAGCCTCAAGTTCACACTTGAATCTGCAAATTCCAATGAAAAGTTAGAGCTAATTATGAATATGCTAGTTCAGGATAGTGAAAACACATATGACAGAAAAACAGCGACAAGAGCTTATACCCTCCCCTACCCCACCTGTCTCATGCCGACCAGAGTGCCATATAGGCTATTTCACCAAGCAGAAGGCAAAGATCACCACCTTATGCTGGTAAATGTACAAAGCTACAAATAAACCAGGTCCGTCTGTGTAAGAAGTGTGGTAAGAAGTTACATCAATTCGTTTCTCATTGGTCACAATGAGCGAGCGCAAGCTCTTCACTAAAAACAAAATCGACCCCTTCGCGCAAGCGCTTGCGAATTAGAAGCATGTGCCCAAAGCAAGCAAACTGGCAAATAGCTTATTGGCCTATACATATCTTTAGTTGCATTGCAGCTCTAAAGCATATCAGAGCAACAAAGCATATCAGAGCAAACAAAGCATATAAAAGAAAAAAAATGGTTCTAAAACCCACCTCGGCACCTCTTTCGCAGCAATGCAGACCCGCAACTCAATAAATTTGCTCTGCGTACCTTTAAACCGGTGGAAGCTTGCACCCTCCAGCGCCATCACCGATAAGCTAAGGAGAACAGACTAGTCTGCTCCCAAAGTGGTGGCACCACTGATCTTCCCATTTTTCATTAGAAATCGGAGTGCGGTTTTCGGTAGCTGCGCGGCTGCATTAGGTGCGCCGTGAACTTCGTAGAGTCCCCTTGTTTACACTGGTGTGCCGAAAGGTAAAGCACATGAGGCACACGCTGTGCGTTATTCGATTAATGATCTTCTTGGGTTGCAACGCTTCTGTAAGCACTGCTTTTTTTTTTTTTTCGTTTCGCGCTCCTGCTTGCACATAAGCATGATGCGAATGTGCATAGTATAACGGTTTTCTTCCGATGTCAACATCTTGACAGAGAAATTATGTCTCTTTAGCATGATAAAACTCTAAGCCCAGACGGAAGAGCATAGGCATATCCAAACATTTCAGGCTCATTGCAGACCGGCACGCATTTCACCGTTTCCTAAGCAGCAAGAGGAATAATGATATCTACCTCCCAGCGCAAGTTCCGGTGCTCCGATTCGGAGGATGTTCTTGCGGAATTAACTGTTGTATAAAAGTTGCCTATCGTCCTGTCTATAACCCCGTCAATACCATTACAGTTAGTTTTTCTAAATTGTAGACTTTTTTGCGGGACACCAAAAGGCCGTGTAACAAGTAGTGTTTGTTGTATATTCAGTGTTACATTGTGTATTTCCAACTCCCGTTCTTGAAATTCGCTCAATGCGAGTTTTGACATAACGAACTACCCGCTATGTCACACTAAATATTGCGTCCGACGGAGTTCATAATAAACGGGTCCGACTGTACATCTTAAAACATATCTGGAAGATTGGAAACAATTAAACAGTCTTGAACAATCTTGTGAATTACCAAAGTGTCCAACCAGATTTCCAGGACAAAAACTATGTCAACACCACCGGACACACACCAAAGACGGCAGCAATCTATATGCACAGAGCAGAAGGTCAGGGGTCATTCGAGAACTGGACCCAAGGTCTCAGGCATTCAATAACAGGAAAATGCCTAGAACAGTGGTTCTCAAATAGGGATCTGGAGACTTCTATCTGAGAGGTCTCGACCTCCTTAGGGTATGCAAAGCCCTCAGGTGCCAATCACAAGAAGCAATAATGTTTTTTTTTTTTTTTGTTTCTTTTATGATGGCTGCCTTACAAAATAAATAAGCTATGTGTGCCAAGCAAGCCGGGTTAATTATTCTCCGTTTCAATGCTTCTAAGTTGGGTCTCTCATCACTTCCACTGGCCCACAAGGGGTCCCCAAAAGAACAATGGTTGAGAACATCTGGTCTAGAACCCTCCCACAAAGGATGCAGTCGGGCTAGAGTGCAGGCCTAACGACACCAGTGGTGCCCCCTCACCGTCTCTTCGAAGGAGCAGCGCATGAGGGCCCCAGTGTCTTGCCGGTTGATGCCGTGACGTGTGATGGCCATCAGGTGACCCTTGGCCGTCATAACGTCACACAGGAGGGCCAGGTGGCGGTAGTTGACGTAGGAGCCGTCGAAACTGATGACGTGGTTCATCTCCTTCTCCACCGCCTTACGGACGGCCTCGATGCCCAGCACCTGGAGAAAGCAAGGCAAGGCTCGTCAGAGATCCCACCAAACTACTGCCCCAAGTCACATTTGCTATAGCAATAGCAGAAGTAGTGGCCATCTTTACTTCCACTCAAAAATAGTGAAGAGCAAAGGTTATACAAGACAGCCTGACCAGCCCAGTCTTATGGCAGTGCAGTGAAAAAATAAACCCTTGGTGCAAACCATCACTGAATAATTTCTAGCTTTGTAGTTTATCTTACACCGGAAAACAAAACAAAAACAGAAAAAATTGAAAGTAAAGGCTGACATTCACCAAAAAAAAAGAGCAAATGAGATGTTTTGATAAAAATTCGTAAGAAAGCCCAATACTCAAGCTCCTCATCACACAGAACGGTCAGTCCGCTATCGTGCCAGAGCGATATTCAAGAACTGGTTGAGGCTCTGTTGGACACAAATTAAACCAAAAAGCTCAATCAGCCGTTTCAAGACTGGGAGCCACGTGAGGAAAACCGGTCGAAGTCGGAACCCAGCCAAGGTGGTGACCGCTCACCGCAAATATCTCGCAGATGTCGTTGGAGTAGGTGCGGACGGGGTCAACGTCCCGTTCGCTCAACACCCGCATCAGGCTCGTGCCGTCCGTTTCCAGAAGCCACTCGGCAATGGCCTTGAACTCGCCGGTCTCCGTCAGCACTATCCTCTTCTTGTTGTCTGTTGTGGGCAGGTGCATGTACACCTGAAAAGCAGCACATTCATGACACCATTTAGAATGACTGCCACCAAAAAAGAGCCCAGAGAGGCAGAAGGCAGTACCCAGATCACGACCTATCGGGTAATTTAATATAATCTCGGTGGCTGTTCTAACCCCTCTTGGCGACAAACCTAGCTCGTTTACGAATGCTGCTTCTTTTTTTGATTCCTCTAAACTCGCAGGTGGGATCATGCAGCTTTCTAAGCTGCTGCTTACACTGATGTACAGATACATCATTGGAATTTCGTCTAAAGCTAACAGCCTGAGCTCTCAGTTTGGTTGAAAGCAAAGGCCTGTCAAGCTAGCTAAGCAGCTCAAAAACCAAGATGTCGTCCTTTGAGTACTTGAGCAAATACAAAGATCTGCTAAAATGCCTATCAAGGACCCACCTAAAGTCCAGAGATAATTTGGCTAAATCGAGAGGTTGAAGGAGGATTTAACTAAAATTCAATACTAAAGAAAAGGCAAATTTTTCACCTTATTTTATGGCAAAGTACTAAATTTTATGAAGCTCCAAAAACGTGCGCAGTCTTACAGAGCATTTGGGCTAGAGAAAGCAAACAACACATTTTTGGTTTGATGAACGAACAGGAGGGAGCAACCAGGTGATATACCTTTGTGATGGCTTCGATGCCTTGCAGTGTCATGTCACTGAGCATGTTGGCTTCAATGCAACGGAGGAACACATCATCCTCCATCTTGTCCACTTGCTCTTCTTCCTAAAATGCAATAAAAAAAATAAAAAAGGGGCAGTGTTACTGTTAAAAGGAACGACCAAGAACCCCCCGGCATCCATTGTACTGTAGCCTCTAAACATGACAAAATGGCTGCCGGCGTGCTCCCAGTAATGTAAAGTTAGCTTTTCCTCTTCATTAATACGGAGACAGATAACCTCTACAGCAGGTAGTAAAGCGAGTTAAAAAAAAAAAAAAAGAAAACCTTATTATATCAGTATTTTAAACACCTGTACCGGTTTTACAAGCACGCTTCAACTTTGCTTTACTACCGTAAAATACCGAGCATGGGCCCATGTCACATTAAGGGCCGACCCCCTATTTTTGAACGATTTCAAAAACAAACAGAGGACACATCAACCGCCCACCCCCCTTTTTTAGGCAAATTTCAAAAAATATGCGAAGGACATGGCAAGCGCCCAGTCGCCGCAGACGGCCGTTATCTCCTGAAAATGAAGCGACCGGCAATAGTCATGAGTCACGAAAGCGCGGGCGAAGGGGGCAAAGGGCTCCGGCGCCACGGGAATCGAGGTCAAATGGCAGAAATAACAAAAGATACAGGCGAGCTGTTGTACAAAGGAAGAGAGGCAAGGGCACGGTGGCAAGACTGAAGCAGTGAAGATACACTACGTTGGAGAGGAGGATCTGGCGAATGGAAAGCCGCACAGAGCTTAGCACGTGTTGCTGCACACGTGCCGTGTGCCCGTGTGCCTCTGCCCCTCCACTTCTGCTTGTTGTTCGGTGGTTCGGTTAGTTCCGTGTTCATCGCGCTGCATTGCTTGCGTTCGCTCAGTTCGCTTGTTTGGACGATGCACTCGTATACGGTCGCTAGGAAAGTCGAAGTTGTTGAATGGCATAGGCGCCACGGAAAGAATGTAAGCCCGACATCGTGTGAATTCAAGATTGACCGTAAAAGAGTGCGGGAGTGGGACTCAAAATAAGAACTGCTCCTGCAACAGAACCACTGAAGATCACGGCTGAAACGCAAGCTGAGTGACGGGGCGCCAGTCTTCAGTGAAGAGGTTGATGATGCCTTATCATCAAATGGCCGCCATTTTGAATTCGGCGGTCGGGCCGAGCAAGGGCTCACCCAACTATGCTATCTTTCTGCGTTTTTGTTCTCGGACCTAACAATCGCCCATCCCCGAGTTTTTCGCGATTATCCCATAATTTTGAGTGGGCGCTTGCTCGGTATTTTACGGTATATGAATATCCTCGCTACGTTCGTCTTTACTACAGAGAGCTCCTAGTGTAATGCCTTAGTTCAAAGCATTTGACTTTGCCACTAATGACTCAAAAAATTCAGTACGGCAAGACCACTACCAAGACATGGCGCTAATGACTTTAAACTTGGATGCGAAAAAGTTACGGCGACAGGCACCAAGGCATGCCTCGCTACCATGATTTCTCCACTCGTCCTAGGGCGCCTTTACATGCGCTTTTCTTAGGGCAATGACATCCGACTATTTTATTCCGAATGGTTCCTTTCCTTTTTCATTCTCGATTTACAGTGCTACAACTATTTCCGGCTATTTCTTTGTATTCCTCCCACGAGTGCACAATGTCAGCACCGGGCCACAAGGCTCATCCCATTGACAAGTGAAGTCAGCCTTCCCTGCTACGGCTTTGACAGATCAAAACCAGACGTTAGTCTCCGCACTTCACAGAAATGAGGGGGAACTGCATCGACCCCGGCGACTCACATCCTGGTACTTGCTGCCGTCGTTGTTCATGATGCGGATACGCAGCACCAGCTTCTCGGCATTGTCATCGTTGAAGATGCAGTTGAGGTCGTCGCCGAAGCCCGCGTTGATCTTCTCGGCGATCTGCTCCATGGTGAGCTTCTTGTCCGTCATGCGCTTCCGGTCCAGCTCCACCCTCAGAAGCCACGTGGAGATGCGGGTCGGGTCGAAGTCCGGCATCTCGTAGTACACGTTCACAAACTCCTGGTCCTCCGCTATCACAGTGTTCTGCGGGTCCGGGTCGTAGTAGATGGCCGTGTTGGCCGTCACCTTGCGCAGCGTGGTATGCTCCAGACGACACAGCACGTCCTGCGGGAAATCGTGCGCAGTCATGAGACGAGAGGAGTCGTCCAAATTATGCTGCTTACATCGAGCTGCGACACCCCCCACTCCTTACCAGCCACTTCAAAAGGCCACACAAAGTTTGAAGACACATGTCGAAGGTTTACGAGGACTTTCAAGGTCTTGTAAAATTGGTTTCAAGGGAAGAGTACCATGTTGCGCGCCATGCGAAGCATACAGACTAAGCGAACCACAAAGACAAAAAAGAGTGAGATCATAAGATAATGGAATGGGCAAAAGCAGATGTGCTACCAAAGTGGCCAGGTACTTAATGGATATCCACTAAATGCCCCTATGCGCTACCGTAAAGTAAAACATGTAAAAGAAAAATATTAAAAACTGAGCCTTTAACATAAAGGTAACAATATGTTGAAGTTTGGTTTATTATTGTAAAAGGTCAATGCCCACGATTATAATCATAAATTTCTAGGGATTTTAAGCACTATAAAATTTCATTGGCCTCCAAAGAAATGGTATTTTGCAGTTCGGGGGTTTTCAAGGAGTCATGCGAACCATGCCACAGTAAGCAAGTGGAAGTTTGTAAACTAAGGCCTAATGACAAACTTTCGATGTTCGCATACAGCATAAAATCAGCTCGTGAGGGCGTCGAGGACGCAAGGAAAGGCTACCTTGGCCTTCTCGGCATCGCGGGCGGCTGCTCCCGTGAGGAACACGGTGAGGGAAGGGGTCTTGGGCTTCTTGGAGATGTTGATGATCTCCTTGAGACGGGGCACACCCAACGTCACGTTCTTGGCCGACACGCCGGCGTAGTGGAAGGTGTTCAGCGTCATCTGGGTGGCAGGTTCTCCCAGAGACTGGGCTGCCAGGGCCCCCACCATCTCTCCGGGCTGGCCCTGCACGCCCCAACCACCGTCTCAGTTTTTCAAACAAGGCTGCACTCCCCAAAGAAGCGTGCAATCGTGTAGATTGCTCGTGGTGTTTGAGCGATATGAAAGAGGAGTTCATGCAGGTGTGTGTTGGTTGTCTTTGGCTATAATGCAGCGGGCGTTGTCACATAACATGAAAAGTCTGTTTGTCCCTCTCAAAAACAAGCTATACCTCTCTGTGTACGAGAGTACCATAGTCTACAAAGATTCTGCATTCTGGAATATGAAACGCATCGTTCATGCACCGAGGCTCACGTTGCAAAACAATGCATTGAACTACACATCATGCCTGAAACCACAGGTCACATTCCACATTGTCACGCGAGGCCCACAAGAGAGGGCAAACAGAGCAGAGAGACGGACCTGCGACTGGTGGAAGCGCGTCTCTATCTCTCCAAGCAGCCACTCGAAGGACTCGGTGGATAGGCGGAACTCCTCGGCCACCCGCTTGGAGCACAGTGTGGCTCGCAGGAGAGAGCGGAACAGCAGGGTGGCGTTCTCGTTCGCCTGGATGCTCAGGTGGTCCTCCCCCGGCACTATCACCAGTTTCTTCACCAGCTCCTCCACCCCTGGAACCACAGACGGGCAATCCAACACGGCCCAAAGGGTCGACCGCATTCGCCAAACGGTGCGAGTATGGTACCTGGAATGCGTCTTTGGTCGGTGTGTTTGGTGCCCCAAGGCACCCACGTGTCATAAATGGTCCCAAATTGGCAGCAAATTATGTCAGGAGAGCCAATGTGCCATGCCGTTAAACATTGCGACCCCGGCAGTTGGTCGTAGGAGTTCCCACAAGAAAAACGGCCAAACGAAAGTGTCGCTCTTGTCACGGCGTCCAAACTCCTGCTAGCTGAAGTCTCCATGAGCTGTCAAGCTGAAGACCAACCTACAGCGGAACAGGCGTCCAGCGCACCCACCTCCGCTGCCGTGTCGTTGCCAGGATTGACGCAGGGGACAGCGTGACACGAGTGTCTTGTCTTCGGGCAGAAATCTAGGGCTCCCAAAGGACGTGGCAAAGACACCAGTCGGAGCTTCGTTCCAGGCACCATCACTCGGGCATGCGCGAACTGTACTCCCTCTCGTAAAGTGGCGGTCGTAAAGGAGAGAAATAATTGCAGAAGGAAATGCGGGCTGCGGGTTCTGGAAGGGGCAGGTTGACATACCTTGGACCACTCGCAGCGGGCTCAGGTCCGTCGGGGAGCGCAGGTTCACCCTGAAAATCTTCTGGGCGTTCCAAAGCATTCGCTGCAGGTTGCAGGGCAGCACAACCTGCAACAACAAAACGAGACCTTTGTTGCAGGTTCACAAGACAAGAGATGGTCAGCTCAATGCATCGAGACAACCTACACAAAGAGCAAGAGCAATGCAACATCTGGACCAGAACTCAGTCGGGTCAATTAACTAATCACTTCGGGGTCTTTTCAACGACCCGTCTAGGCCCCCTACAAGCACTCAGAGAGGAGGAAACTGCCCGTCGATTCCTCCTTTCCACGCAAAAAAGGAGAACCTCCACCGTCCAACGGGAAGTTGCTCAAAAACTGTCATCTTGGGAGAGGGGCAGAAAAGAGTGCAAGCAGAAAGGGAGAAAAAGACACAGGGAAAGGGTCTCCGCCTCACAGCAGAGGATTCTGTAGCTCGACCTTTAGGTCTGCCAAGACCGGCACAAGTGTTGTGTAACCCAGAGAGTCGACAGAAAGTGATAATGTGCTGGAAAGGCGGAGCAATGAAGAGCGGACCTTGCTGTCTCCGGTGGGGAAGATGGTTCGGAGGGCCTCGCGGTCCCTCTTGAGGCGCTCCCACTCCTTCTCGAGTTCCGAGACGGCCGTGGCGCTGCCCATGAGTTCACGCACCACGTCCTCGGTGAACACTTTCCTCAGGTACCTGGGAGCACGGAGGAAGGGCACACTCAATCGCAAAGTGGCTTTGGGTTGGCTCCGCATCAAGGAGCCACCGAATGGGCTGCCAAACTCGGGTGGGACTCCTAATGCATCCAACACGAAATAACCCACTTTGACCTAGGTAGAGTACTAATGCCTACAGAACCTGGAGGGTCTGAAAAAACACCCCAGAGAAAAATGTGTGAAGCAAAATCTGGGATGAGCTTGATTCTTTCACAAAACTTAGTGACAGCATAGAAGAAAACTAAACATACTTATCTCAGCGGACAAAATTGGGATAAACGGGGTGCGCAGCAGAAGGCCACGTATATTTCTCTTCTAAAAATTATTTATTACCATTATGATTTAATGATAAATAATCGGAAAGACCTGCTAATCTTCCTTAAATTTAATGGATGTGGTGCAGTTTTTCGTGACTCCCTTTCGTAACATTAAGCTCACCTCGTGAAAGCCCGCCCTAAATGCTATGTTTAAAAATAAATAAAATAAACAAAAATTAATCATATTTAACAGTTTGGAAGTGGTACAATTACCCGCAAAGTAGGGTGCACATAGGAATTTTTCTTTAGATCTAAAAAACCCATTTGGAAAAAGCCATCCCCATAATGCCAGATACATCTTCTGGTCTACTGAAAGGTCCTCATAAGAGGACTAACACTTGTGACACGTCATGGTCCACGATTTTCACTGTACCAGGGTCTCAGGTTCAAGAAACCTCGCAGCCACTACCACACTCATGTACAGCTGAACAACAAAAAGGTGTCAAGTCCTCCAAAAAGGAGGAGTCATCCTACGAGAACAAATGCAGATGCACGAAATCGACACCTCCCCAAGTCTCCCCAACCTTGTAGGACCAGTGAGGCGAGACTAACAGATTCGAATCTAACAATAACAAGGCAGGTGCCATGTAGGTAGGAAGCTTCTGGAGGCGACATGAGGCCACCAGAGCTCAAGCCAGAGGTGTGGTGGGATACACCCCCAATGAAAAAAACCAAGAGATGCTATTGGACGAAAAGAGGCAAAGACATGTTTTAATCACCCCCAGGAGGGCACCAAAGGTGACCAAAACAGCTGTCGGCGTCAAGTCTGCTCTCTTTTTCGTCCAATAGCGCCTCTTGGTTTCGATCATCGTTGGGGGCGTGTCCCTTCACACTTCTGGCTTCAGCTCTGGTGACCTCATGTCACCTCCAAAAGCTTTCCTACCTCCATGGCGGGTGCACCGACGCCCCGACGGAAAGGGGGAGGGAGAGGACAGGTACCTCTCGTTGCAGGCGTCGAAGCGGAACTTCTTCTCGAAGGACTTGTTGGAGGGCTTGAGCGTGGGCATGCTCTGGAACTCCACCGCCACCCCGTCCAGCCCGTCCTCACCGTACCGCAGCTGGATCACCTGGCTGTTGCTGTTGCGCACCGTGCCGTCGTAGGCTATCATCACACTCTCCATGGCCTTGATCAGACGCCGCTGGATGTAGCCTGCACCCAAGTCACATTCCAAAGAAAAATTGGCTGGGAAATTTGCAGAGGCCATGGTTTGTTTCATCGTATGAGCGAGCGAGGCCAAAGCTGCAAGTACAACCACGTGGCCCCAAACGACGCGTAAACTGCACGAGTGCGCATGCTTGGCGGAGACAACGAAAGGATCTTGTAGCTTCTGCCGCGCTCACACCTAACATGAAATGGAAGACAAGTTCCGAACACTGCTTAGGAAAGGAAGCCCCCCACCATCTAGGGTATCAAGGCCTGTTCACTAAGACACTACGACGAGGCCAACTAAGCGATTGGGCTAGAGACAGAACTCATTGGTTGAACACGAGTCCCAGCTGAAAGCTGATAAAGCTCCTTTACTCAATTCGAGCCCACTCTCGGCCGTAGTGCGATGGCGTCGAACTTTAAGTGCATGGGACTATCCAAGTATACTCGGCGTCAACTTTGTTGCGCTACGTTGTTGAGCCTATCATAGTTTTCACAGCACTGTCAAGGTTACTTGTGTAAATGCACGCAAACAGGCCTTAAGATGAAGTCACACGCTCGTGCAGCATGGCGCACAGGCTGTAGCAATGTGGGAATCATACTCCGTTTTACCTCACGACCGACCACAGCGGATGCTACGAGCCATCGAGGCAAATACAAGGCCACGCAAATGTTACGTGACCCTGGAGAGGGGGCGCAGTGATATGCGGAGAGCGTATCGGAGTACGGGCTAGTCTCAACAATGCAACGCAAAGAAGTCGACGCGGAGCGCAGCCTAGGCAGAGTCGGTCGTGGCGCCCTCCGCACCTGTCTCGGCAGTCTTGACGGCCGTGTCAATGAGACCCTCTCTCCCTCCCATGGCGTGGAAGAAGAACTCGGAAGGGGTCAGCCCGGCCAGGTAGGAGTTCTCCACGAAGCCCCTGCTCTCGGGGCCGTAGTCGTCCTTGATGAAGTGGGGCAGGGTGCGCTTGCGGAACCCAAACGGGATGCGCTTGCCCTCCACGTTCTGCTGGCCCACACAGGCAATGACCTGCAGAGAGAACACAGCAAGGCCAAGTTTCACTCTTGTCCCTCATTCTCCAACTCTCTGATGTCATAGAACCCTTCAATGCATATAGGGGCAGCTGAGAAACCCTTAGCACCTCTCGAGAGCCTTTGATAATTGTAATCGCTGTTTCCTTAAAAGAAAAAACATTTACTTCACTCAAAAGAGGCCTTTAATCATAGCTAACAGACACTGCCACCTATGTGTGTCCCATCACTAAATGAATGAAGCTGAAGAGTTAAGCAAAGAGGCCTTAAAATAGCAAAAAAAGAGTGGCGTGGCTTGACATTTTTAGAGCGCAGCTCTTAGGGGCCCGTTCCCGGCTTGAGCGGCGTCGCCGGCGGCGTCGGCGTCGCCGTCGCCGTAACCAAGGTCATCCCAAGGTCACGTGACCCCTCCCAAGGTCATCTCAAGGTCACGTGACCCCCTGAAGGTCACGTGACCCCTCGAGGTCACGTGACCCCTTCCAAGGTCATCTCAAGGTCACGTGACCCCAACATGACCCCACGTGACCCTTTGAAGGTCACGTGACCCCCAAGTCACGTGACCCCTCTGAGGTCACGTGACCCCCGAGGTCACGTGGTCGCCTCCCCAAGGTCACGTGACCCCCGAGGTCACGTGACCCCTTCCAAGGTCATCTCAAGGTCACGTGACCCCACGTCACGTGACCCCTCTGAGGTCACGTGACCCCCGAGCTCACGTGACCCCTCCAGGTCACGTGACCCCCAAGGTCACGTGGGGGTCACCTTTGGGGTCACGTGGCCTTGAGGTCACCCCCAGGTCACGCCTCCCCGAGGTCACGTGACCCCCTCCCCGAAGTCACGTGACACCCCCCCCGGAGCATATTAAAGAATGAGGGGAGGAGGAGGAGAAGGGGGAGGGGTCTACCCTCCCCTCAGTACCCTTCACTCCTCCTCCTCAAGAGCTGCGCTCCAATTCGGCGTTACAGGGATTTGTAAACGGCTTCCACTTTTTTAAAAATACTTTTTAGGGAGGCACTGTGTCTCTTGTACACAAACAGAAGGCACAGCATGTTTACACGCTTTTCCTACTAATTCTAGTTTTTGAGCAAACTGGGACATAACAGTTGGTTTCTTTAGTGGAATACAAATAACTCCCTAGCTGAAATACTAGAAACATTAAAGAGAATGAAGTAGCTCTATTGACCGATTGTTGTACTGAATATTTCTGAACCTTGCAACACGTTTCCCCTAACGGAGACAACACTAAGCTGCTTTCAGGGTCACAACTCCAGATGAAGTACCATTGGAATGTGCAGATTTTTTGGAAACAGACACAAGGGAGACAAAATATGTTACCTGTGAGATGTTAATCTTGGAGCCCTTGGCTCCAGACACCACCATGGCCTTGAAGTTGTTGAACTCCGAAAGGGATTTCTGGGCACTGGCTCCAGTCTTGTCACGAGCGTCGTTGAGGATGCGGTTGACCTGCACAACGAATGGACAGCATGTTACAACAACCCTAAAGAGAACCTTGAAACTTCTAGAGAAATCAGTTTCACTTTCTAAATAGCACAGATGTGGCACCCTCTTTTAAGAACATTCAAACTTTCCAGACTGGACACTGGGGGGTCTTCACACACAGCATGTGTGAAACCCACCAAAAGTGCAAAACGACCAAAGTGCAACTTCTGACGAGGGTCTGACAAAAAGGAAACGCAACACTTGGATCAAACTCGAATTGTGAAAACTTGTACGGCACAGATCCGTAACACTCCCTCATCTACAAACAAGTTCCCCCCCCCCCCCCCCCCCCCCGTGAGGAGTATGTTACTTCAACTCATAATTTTATAATACCGATACGCAATATTTGCTGACAACGACAGTCAGGGGTGAGGGCTAAGGACTGGGAGCGACCAATAAACCCTTTTCGGAATGATGCATAGCTTACGTGCAGCCGCCATTAGTTGGTCACGCACTGTGAGCACACATTGGACAGAAACGCTTCATCAGCATTCGGAGTGTACTTGAATCTAAACGCATTCCACACGAATGCCGCGTCAGTGATTGGTGCAAGCTTGGAACCAATCGCTAGTGATTGTTTCCACTAGTGATCCAATCACTGGTGGATCCACATGGTGCTCCCTGCCTCACCCCACGTCGCCGTGAGCATATCTTGCAGGTGTAAAAGGAAAGCAACATAAAGGACGAAGATGGGACAAAAATCTCTCCTTGTACGCACTTCGTGTCACTTTCCTCTTATCCCTGTAACTCACCAGCACACTCCAATTCGTCGAGCATATCTTGCAGCACCCCTCACCGAGCATGACGCCGGCAGACGGCGACGCCAAGAAGCACGCGTCTGCCGCCTTGCCACGCACCCTCACAGAGCTTCGGCTTTGAGTTTGCCGACTGGGGGTGAGTAGGAAATCCACTACCGACGACCTAATGCTCCAGCCTCGCGTTTTAGGCCACGTCGGAGCGACGCCGTACCTGGTTCTCGAAGGTCTGTCGCAGGGTGTTTCCGGGAGAGGGCTCCAGCTCGTCGTTGTGGGCCTTCTCGATGACGTCTATCACGTCGTGCTTGGCCTTCTCGATGGTGTTCTTGATGTCGATGAAGGTCTGCTTGTCGGCGATGGTGTCCCCGATGCCGATAGTGTGGCCCTCCAGCAGCAGCCAGGCGTTGACCACCGTCTGGATGTGGCCGTAGAAGAGGCCCGCCACCTGGTGGCCCAGCTCGTTGAACACCACGTGCATCAAGGAGCCTGATGAGGCCCCCACAGTCTTCTTGCACACAATGCCGCTGATCAGCTCCCCGTGCTCAATCAGCACCTGCAACCGCGGGGAAGAGGGGAAACGTGGGTGAGGAAAGGTGGCAGACCTCGGGGAAGGGCACAGTGAGGGAAGCATTGAGGTTGGCTTTACGACGGATGAAAGCAAAGTCGCCATAAAGAGTGCAAGACATCACAATGAACCGCTTGTACAGACACCACGAGGACAATCTGTAAATTAAAAAAAAGGACCCGCTCAAGCTTCTCAAATCCACAAATAAATTCGGTAAAACTACTTTACAAAAGGCGAGAGATAAAGTAACCCGGTGACGACCCAGATCTGACCCCATGCACTAAGCGGGTGATGCGATGCGGCTGCAAACACCTCTGACATGCTGGCATCGTCACGTGCCCATTTCGTGTTTCCCAAGGATTATAAGCAGCAGGTAGTAATTGCAAGGTTGCTTTTGTACGTCAGTGACCAAGAGATGCAAACATGTATCGATATGTAGGCTTCATTAGGTGTCCTTGGTTGGTCTCCAAGAACTCCCGAACTAGAAAACTCCCGCCGTTTTGTCCCGTCCCCACTTTGAGCCCAACCTTCTGCCCCATGCCCCACTTTGGGACTGCACCCAGAGACAGGAACCCCCAACGACCTTGGTGTCCCCTGGGGAGATCCACTTGTAGGGCCCGTCGTCCTCCTCGTCCGGGTGGGTGCTGTGGGTGCGGATAAGGTTCACGTTGCCCGGGATGATCAGCGAGAAGATCTGCTTGCCCGTCCACAGGGGCTTGGGCTTCAGGATGGCCGGCATGGGCATCTTCCCGTCCCAGATGGGCAGGAACATCAGGATCGTCATCATCTGGTCCTGGGGTATGCACGGGGGCGACAAAGAACAGTCAAACCTTACTATATAAACTCGTCGTCGAAGACCTAACTCCATTAGCTAAAATAGACTGCACACACGTTGTGAACAAAACCCTGGCATTCAACAGCATGTCTCACAGATTCTGTATGTTGCTTCATAACCCCCTTCTTAAAGTTCCTAAGCTAAACTTATGTGTTGAGAAGTACAGAAGTCCACCAACAATGACGCCCTGGCCGACATTGTAGTCGTAAAGAGCCCGCACCTTCTCGAGGAAGATGTCCCTCTTGGTCATCTTGCGGACGGCCGTGAGGGTGTCCTGTACAATGCCCATGACTGGCTTGTTTGACTGCGGAGTGATGATCTGCCGGGGCACCATGGCCAGCTGTTCCACCTCAGCCCGCGTCTCCAGCGACTGCGGCACGTGCAGGTTCATCTCGTCTCCGTCAAAGTCCGCGTTGTATGGCGTCGTCACGCTGCAGACACGAGCCAACACAACATCACAAATGCTCAAAGACAGCCCTCGAATTTTTACGACAGAAACCTGACACCGAGTAAAAATGCTGCAGACCATGTCTTTCAGGAGATCTGAAGAGCTGGCGAGGCTGAGTCTCGTGCACCTGTCTCTTAGCAGAGACCTAACAGTTCCCATTCCAGAAATGTCAAAAGATGTTTCCATCCTTTCTACAACAAGCTCCTAAGAGCACCATTGTTGTGAACCAACACTGGTGCTAAGAGCACCAGTGTTGGTTGTGAGCACTAGTGTTAACATTTTCAAGGAATTTACCAAAGCAAGATAAGTCATCCACTTAAAATCAGATGCTTGGAAGAATAAGAAAAAGGTTTGACTGGATTTCTCTACCTCATCCTGGGAAGTGGTTGTTTTTCGTGACCCAATGTCACGGTGTCAAGTCGCGTCAGAAGATCTTACGGCGTCTGATGATGCAATGACGACAATTTCCCCAATAAATTAAACGGGAAAATCCAGACAGAAGGACAAATTTCTGGGAGCAGGGGATTCCGTTGAAAAGTTTTAAGGAAGGCTTTATGACGTGAGGAGTAGCTCACCTAAGGTTCATCCTGAAGGTAGACCAGGGCAGCACCTTGATCCTGTGTCCCATCATGGACATTTTGTGTAGTGTCGGCTGACGGTTGAACACAATGATGTCCCCGTTCCTCACGTGACGCTCCACCTGCAAGCGATGCAGCCGGGCATTGGACACAAGAGCGCTGTTGTGCATGCGCGCACGGGCTAGTCACCGACGGCTTAAAGGAACACGGGGGATGACTTGTTGCATTCTTGCAACTCAATCCGTGATTGGGTCTCCGGCATTATCATTAGCCAATGCCACCGTGTAGGGAAGACATGCAGCGCAGGAAACGTCGCAATGCGATCGATCAGATAGAGTCCTATTCATGCGCGCCCAAGTAGCCTATGCCGACAGCGCCTTCGCCGGCCGGCCAGCGCAATTTAAAAATAAACAGAAACAAACAAGAACATACAAATGCCTCATTGCCCAGGCAACCGAGCATGTACGCTTTCTGTTCGACCAGTCTGCTCCGACCTTGATGGGCGCCGGCTCGAACACCGTGCCAGAGATCTCTCCGCTTCAATGCGTTCATACAAGTGTCACTGCCAGTTAAGCCTGAAACTAGGGTCAATGATGAAGCTGCGTATAAGCAACACATGTAGCGCGAGTACCAGGTTCTACATGACGTGGCACACCAGCAAAACAACTCTAAAAACGAGCATGTCTCTTGCAGAGAAGCATGGGAAACCGGGCCGCGGCAGGCAACCACCAGCCGCTTATCAAAGACTCATCTGGTGGCGCCGCCTGAAACCGACAGGCAAGGGAGGACTTCATCTGGCAACTGTGATCGTACGCGGTTTCCACGCCTACATAGGTCGTACACCGTGGCTAATGCCAAAATCTCATTGGCTGCGACAATGTGATGTTTGAGGCATGCGAGGCCCTACGTTTTTGAGGCTGTCGGTAACTGCAACAGGAGGGCACTGACCCTGTACCCGCACTGCAGGTGGAGGTCGCTGGCCTTGGGGTGGAACCGGAGATCAATCCTCTCGCCGTTGTCGCGGATGATGTACTTGGCACCGGGGTACTGGTTGTTGCCCCTCCGCACAAGCTCGTGCATCCTGCGGTGAAGGACACACGGCATTGCTGAGGGAAAGCGAGGCCAGAGATTCCGAGTAAAACACCAGGGCCTTGCTGCACCCAACAGGTCAGTTTATTAATGCCTTGTCACGTTACGTGTGAATAAGCTCTGCATGGGCTCCCTACAGAAGGAAGCCAACTTAATGGCGGTAAGTAACGTAAATGCAAAAACAGTGTCTGGAAATAAGCGTAAAAAGTCAAATGAATGGCACATGTAAGAAATAATGAAATCCAACTGTCAACCAAGTATGCACAAACACAACATAGGCGCTCTTCGCACTTAGTTGTGAAGGAGTACTGGCAGCCACCAGATTTTACCACTTCAGTTAATGCCCCAGTTGAACACTTTCCAACACATGTTTGATGAAGGCCTTTTATTTTTTTTAGAGAAAAACTATGATCACTTGTTTGTGCCAACAGTGTCACACAGTGTACACCTTCGACAACTCGCGAGAGAAGAAAATAGTGCAGACGAGCAAAGAGCAGGACTAATATGTCGTGGACACAAACAGGACTAAATACAAACGAGACTGTGTGTGCACGCGTGTGTTGTCCTCTTCTTGTCTCATTGCGTCATTCATCCCACGAGTGAAGATGGCCTCTCCCCCCCAACTCACTTGTCCATGTTAAATGGGGTGACGATCTCGGGGAAGGTGAGGTTCTGGGCGATAGAGCGGGGCACGCCGACCTCGTCAATGCGCAGGTTGGGGTCTGGCGTGATGACCGTCCGGGCGGAGAAATCCACACGCTTTCCCATGAGGTTGCCTCGAATGCGACCCTCTTTGCTCTTCAGCCGCTGCTTGATCGACTTGAGCGGACGGCCAGACTTTTGCATCGCCTGCGGAGGAACCCAAGAACACTTTACTCCTGCAAAGAGCTTCGGAGGTTGTTCTCCTCAAGTCCCTCGACATTATTAACTAAAAATGTGGCCAGGGCTAGAAGCATTTTAGAGGAAGATCCAGGTAGACGATATGTATCATGAGCTACTCAAGACGAAGGAAAAGGAACAATTCGGAGTTTACACCAGAACAGAAAAAATATTTAAAGATGTTTACAAATCTCTGTAACGCGAAATTAGGGGGCAGCTCTAGAGGTATTTTGATTTTGCGATATACCGTAACAGGAGGGTATGAAGGAGGAGGAGGAAGAAAGGGTAAAGATGAGAGGAGGGTATGAAGAAGGAGGGGAGGGTATGAAGGAGGAGGGTATAAAGGAGGAGAGGAGGTTATAGAGGAGGAGGAGGGGAGGGCACAGAGGACCCTCCCCTCCTCCACAACATCCCTTCCTCCCACAGTTTCCCCGCTAAATTTAGCTAAAAAATTGACGCCACGTAACCTTAACACAAATTCAGTTTCCCCGCTAATTTCAGCGGGGAAACTGAATTGGTGTTGAGGTCCTGTGACGTCAGTTTCACCGCTAAATTTAGTGGGGAAACTGAATGCACAGTGTTGGATTATGGGACGTCACAGACCTACACACCAATTCAGTTTCATCGCTAAATTTAGCGGGGAATTAAATGGGTGTATAGGTCTGCGACGTCCCATAATGCAAAGCGTGCAATCACGCCGACGGCGATGCTGCAAAACACGGAAACAAGCGCCTAAGAACTGCGCTTTAAAAAGGAATGTGCGTTTCTAAAATGATGTTCTGCCAACTCTTCCCTCCTTGTGTAATGCTCGTGTGAGCTCTCAAGGTTTAACAAGTAATAATAATAATCATGATGATGATGACCCTGCAGAGGGCTTAGGATTAACTTGGCCACTTTGTGAACCTCAGCATGCCCCAAAACGTTACTGCATGATGCCACAATTACCATAATCCCACTCTAGTTTCTTTATCAGGTCTAGCTTGCTCCATAAGGGACCACCCCGCACCTTGGTCAGCTCAACACTTCGCAGGCCCCCAACCAACTTCAAAAAGCATGCAGAATCTATATCGACCCTTCTTGCCATGCATACACGGAAACCAGTAGACCAGCGATTCTCACATGGGGGTCCGCGGACCCCTTGGGGTGATGGCTGCCTTGACCGCCAATCAAACCAATCAATAAACTTTTTTTTCTTCTTGTCATTGATTTTTTTGTTCTTTTGTCATTGTAACATCCAATACCCCCTCCCTCCCCAGTGGATGGGGTCCCCCATCACCTCTGCCCACCCTGAAGGGGTGTCTCCGAACCATCAGTGGATGCGGACCAATGCAATCGACAGTTACTCAAACTCAGAGGTGGCAAAGGTCATCACGTAAAGAAAAGCCCACAATATAAATGCAGTTCGAGAAATCCCTCAACTTGGCTCACGCAAACACTAAGACAGCCGAGCAAGAAGCAGCGACAGAAACATGGCTGCAAAAAGAACCCACCCTGGGCAGTCCCGGCATCTCGTTGTCGACCAGCGTGGCCACGTGGAACTGGAGCATCTTGAGCGTCTCGGCAATGATGTGGGCCGCCGCACCGCTCTGCTCGTTGCGAATCAGCTCGTTGTTGGCTTTGACTATGTCGGCCAGTTTGTGGGTCAAGTCGTCCTGGGGAGAGCACACTTCTGCTCATTCTCAACCTCGTTTATTTATATAAAGGGCATACCAACTGTACTGCAGAAGCAGAAGGGAGTTTTTATATTGAGTGACATAACTGCACATGTCCGTGGTGCTTAAGACATTAGCTGTCAGCTCCTTGGCACATGATCCAACAAAAGAGTTTCCTTGCAACTGAAGCTAATAGAGTAAGCTCAAGATAATTCAAACTCGGATGTTTCAAACCTCTGGTTAATTCAAACAGATTTCAAATTTTTGGTTGTTCCGCCAAGTTTTTAATGCATTCATAAGCCGTTAAATCGAACGACGTTTTCGTGCAATTCATACTTTTTGTTCGCCCTGCCTCATTGAGTGTGCTTCTTTCTGAGCACCGGTGCACTGCAGAAAAGCAACACCCGCGAAACTTGTTTCCGCGGGTGTTACTTTTTTGAAGTGCACCAATGCTTAATGAGAAGTGCACACAACGGGGCTCAAGTGAGCATACGTGAGTTATAAAAAAGGGCAGCACGCAAAACTTTCCACAACAACTTGCACAGATGCTGCGACGTGGCGGCACGGGATAGGTCCACGTAACAGCGTTCGTGCAAGTTGCTATGAAAACTGCTGCACGGCACCTCTTTTCATCGCTCGTGTCTCCTGCTTAAAGGGACACTGACACCCTCCAAAATTTTTTTTTATTTTTTACCAGGTGATTTATTATGGTCTCAGAGAACTACCCAATCAATATTTTTCTGCAGTGTCACATATAGTTTTAATAAAGCAAAAAAATGCAACTGCTTGAAACCGAAACAAGACTGGGAAGGATGAAGAAATATAGAGGAGGAGAAAGATACCAAAAGTCACGTAATTGTGGCACTTACACATAAAAACCTTGGCAAGCATAGATACCCTGTCAGTGTCCCTTTATTAGTCAACATTAGACAAGTTCTTGGCCCGATGAACAAACTTAATTTTGTTTCGAGCTGTCATGTGCTATCTTAACAGTCCTTGCTAAACAAAATTTTTGAGGGATAAATAAAAATATGTTACACATTTTAGAAATGTTTCATGTGTGGCATGGCACACCTGCTTATGATGAGTAGGCCTATGTAGAGGAGATCATCAAATATCTGCATTGTATATGTAGCCATTCATATGGCAAATCATAATTTTATCTTGCATCATATTTAGATGAATTTCTGATAATTCAAACGAAATCCGTGGCTTCCTGAAATTTGAATTAATGAGAGTTTACTGTATCAGCTATCCTCTAGCTTGAATTGTGATCACGTCACAAGAGCATTCATTACTCAAGAAACAAAAGAATCATCCTGGCAATAGAACTTGTTTATGCACAGCGATTACACTCCCCCACACCCGAAGTGCTGTATGGTATCCATCTAAAAACATTTTCGACAGGATGCCTCGGAAATTGTTATCTGCAATGATGCTGGTTTAATTTGCTGAAGCTGCAGAGGTCATGTGTAAATAAAAGACAACTTAAAAAAAAAAAAGAAAAAGCACAGTATGAACAGATGCTGATCAAGGCAGACAGTGTGATTCTCCGAGCTGCGCACTTCTAACAATGACGCAGCGAGCTTGAGGTCAACTGTTGTTCAAAGAATAGTGTCAGCTTAAAACAGCCGCCTTCTTCTCCACGCATTGTGTTTCTGCATCTTCTGCCCTGGCCAGCTGATGTGTTTGTGACAACACTTGAACACGGGGTACAATCAATCAACCAGCCGACTCTGCAGGGTACGTTCAACCAATGAATCAACCCCAAGGTTCCACCTGGTTGCGAGCAGAGCCGAACATGACGACGGCGGGCCGGACGGCCAGTGGGGGCACGGGCAGTACGGTGATGAGCATCCAGTCGGGCTTGGTGAAGCGGGGGTCCATGCCCAGGATCTGGCACTCCTCCTCCGACACCTGGCGGAAGATCTCCCACACCCGCTCCGCCGTCAGCACCACCTTCTTCTCCTGCGAGTCCTCATTGACGTGTTTCCACTCTGCCGTCAGGTCCAGGCCGCTACGCCGGATGCTCGGCTGGTAGCGCCCGCAGCCCCCGTGGCCCTGGCAGGGGAAACGGGACGGTGACCGGCGCTGCATCTCCTCATTTCGCCGGCTTTGCCGAAATTTTTAACCACTGATTAAAAGGAGTAATGCCCCTTTGGCATGTGCTGGGTAAAGGCAGTGGATCGTACATTGAACTTAACTTTGGTTCCGCTTAGCTGCCATCCTTCGTGACATTGCATTCAACACTATCCACAAAATAGGTACAGGGTTTCGCTTTACTGCTGTTTTGCCACTGACACCGAGAGAGATATTAGAAATGTCCTTGAACAATTCCCGGTGTATTCAAAAAGAAAGTATTCCATATGAATTCGGCGGAAAAGGTCAAGAGTGAAGCATAATGCCTAGCCACGAAATGTCAAACAGAGACTTGCGGAGTCCAGGCCATAAAAATTAAACAATTATGGATGTCACAGTGACTTCCAAATTTAAATTTTATGGATGAGATATACTAGAGAAATATGTATAAAATATAAAGCACCGAGTGAGATTTGTGTGACGCCAAAACGAGGGACAGCAGTTGTTGTATATTTTAAAAGCAGGCATTTGCAAAGCGCTTCACACGTAGATACTAAATAAAGTAATTGGAGCTCCCATTGTGTCAGAGCACCATAGACACGAAAATGATGCGGCAAAACATCAAAATTTAACAACCACAGAGGCATCGGAGGTGCCTTGAGTAGACGAGTTCATTGAAACTCGGGATGGCGGTCCTTCTGGCTGCCCTCCCCCGAACACAGTGACGCCAATGTGTCGCACCCACCTGCTTCTTGGCAGCCTCCTCGGCACCCTGGTTCTCCACCCCCATCTTGGTGTCGATCTCGTCGCCACCTTCGCAGATGTTCTTGCCCTTGCAGAGGTCGTACACAAACGACAGCTGCTTTCTGGGCTGGCCTCTCGTCTTGGCCACAATCTCCTTGATCTTGGGGTTATTCTGAGAAAGCATCAGCCAGCACCGCGTCACCACCTCCTCTCTCAATCAGAAACAATGAGACATTGACACACGTCGCAAATGGGCACATATTGATGTTTCTTGGTAAGCAACCGACTCTTAAAACAAAATTAAACCAGCCTGTTTTTTTGGTGAGTGCAAAAAAAATCATTCTTATCAGTTCTGGTGAATGAATGTCCTTCGGGAATTTCGATACATGCTTTTCACCTACGTGATAGCATAGTGCTAATGGTCAGTCCCTCTTTATCTTGCCAAGAAAAACTAATTCGGTGGTGTGAAATATGTACTGCAGAAGGTACACACTCAGAAGCAGGGCCCCGCAATGGCCGCCGATGCCAACGCGAGCCACCTGTTTGCCGGAGCCCCTTTTGCGCTACGCGAGGCTTACGGGAAAGAGGATGAAAAGCCACAAAGCATGTCAACATACACCTCGATACCCATAAAATTTATCACCGACCAATCACGTGGTGAACACCGAATGCGAGAGGGAGGGGAAGCGTGACTCACGGGGCTGACGAGCAGCTTGGAGCAGTAGAAGCAGACGCAGCGTAGGATCTTGATGGTCTTTGTGAGGAAGCCGCAGTGGAAGACTGGCTTGGCCAGCTCAATGTGGCCAAAGTGACCCGGGCACTCAGTCATGCTGCCTGCACAGGTCTGGCAGCGGGAGGTCCGATCAATGACCCCCTGGCGGGGGTCCATGAGACCCCCCAGCTTGGGTCGACCACCCTCGTAGATCTCGGGGTACTTGATGCCCCCATCCGTCACCGACATGCGGCGCTGGAAAGCAACACCGCGGGGAAGGCGATTGGCAACGGTGCAAGCACTGTTAAGGCCAAACCTGCAAGACCATCTTCGGCAAGACTCAAAACGCATCTTCCTTTCCCTCTCAGCGGGACAAAATCAACCCACAAGCCCCTTTTCACACTTTGGGGGCAAGAGCATCCAGACTGAGTGCAAAACCAACATTTGAGTGAGGGGACTCGTGGAGCTAATAGCTCCACGAGTGCCCTCTTTGGCTTTGGCTTTGGCCGAAGGATTTAACGGTCTCACTTCTCGTGTGCTGGGTTAACAGCAATGGTGATTAAACCTACTCGGTGTTCGGTAATGCTATGTGCACCCAATGGAACACTTTCACACTTATGTGAATAAGAAAGGCAGGGAAGTATGTGCTCATTCTGGTTTTTAACAACCGCACACTTCGTGAGACAGGTAGGAGCACAATAATGGTTGGGACTACTCATGAAATGCATTCTTCACGATTACCCTCTCAACAGACTAGTTCACATGAATGGGTAAATGGTATAACACATTCTGGTTACTGAACCCAATAAATGTTCAGTGTACACTGAAGTATTCCTAGACACAAATATAGGAAAAAAAAAAAAAAAACACGGGATAGGGTATTTTTAAACTAGCTTTACAACGTCCTGACAAAACACTGAAAGTGGCGTTCTCATGGTGTTTACGCAATATACGAGAACAGCTAAAACTCTGTTGCCGAAGATTTAGATGGATTGGCAGTGCAACGAACCACATTCCTTTAACGGACGTGCAGTGCGTAGCTGATCACCAACACCCAACGCGTTCCGAAGATGTAACTTCAAACAAGGAAACAGACACCAATTAAACCCTGGAGAATAGAATAAATGAACATAGCCAATGCATTCGCAGCGGCCTCATAACCATTGCAACGGACATTTGCAATATGCGTTTGAAGTGCGTACTTAGACGCAACGCAGTTCCATTCAAGCTGCTCTCACACATCATTCGCGCATTCATAGTTCGATACTAAGAGAGCTCAGGAGATAAGAACCACGCACTGACAACGGTCATTCACTTTGGGACCTTTGACAAGGAGCTTATGCGTCGATTTACGAACGCACACGTACCGCCAAACGCTCGAAATTGAAGTGCGAATAAACGGTCTTTGTTTAGCCAATTTTATTTGATCAATTTTGACAGTTGAGATGTCGTCGTGACCGTAACTGCCCGCAATCACGGCCGAGACGCCGGCAGTTACTGCAACTTACAGTCGCCCAACTCAACAAACGCCGCAGTAGCGTTTAGGAAGGCAAAATGCGCTACGTACAATTTCATCGGGGCTCAGGATTCCGAACTGCACCCTTTTGACCTCCCGGAGGGTAGCCTTCGAATCGGATGTCACAATCTGCGACATCGCGATTCTTTACGTCCGTTTCCCGCACAAACAAGAGTTGTTGAAGCACACCAAAATCGCGTTCACAGCGGTAACGCCGCAGAAGCGGCCATTTTCTAGCTTCTTTTGCCTTGGAAAACCGGAAAACCGCGGAAGGAGGCCTTCTTTATATAGCCGACGGAGCTCGACGGGGCTCAAGTGCTAAAGACACGGCCCAATCAGGAGCGGAAGAAGAGGACCGACCAGACAATTAACCTAATGTCACGATAATAAATTATAAATTTATGAAAAGTTATATATCATAATTTTTATATTATGACATGTTGATTTATTACTCTAACTAAGTTAGCACAAATAATCGTTTTACTGATTTTGTTTGTTCCAGTCAGTTTCTAAAAGGCCTCCAGCCACCATGACGCGCACAGCGCGCGCATTTTAAAATGTGTTTTACCTAGAGAGACTTGAGCCCTTGCACCAGCGACCCTTGCGTGAAAACACGGACTGTCGTGTGTGTTCCTCTTCGTAGTCCGTGTTTTCTGAGCTGTTTTCCCCATCATGTATAACGTCAACCAACTGGCCCAGTTCTCCACCTTATTGTGTTTTGTTTGTCGCGATTGTAGGATTTGTAGCGTTTGTAGCTTCCGAGATTGCCTAGCCCATTTTCCTAGCCCACATTGTTTCATCGCAGGTTGCCGTCTTTGTACACAAGTCAACATTTCTGAAACATTCAAAATTATGAGCCCACTATTTAATAAATTCGCGGTTTCTTTCAAGTGGAGTGCTCGCGCTCCACGTGAGGACGTGAATTTTTTTTCTTTGTTGTTTTTTATAACCGATAATTTGATTTTTGAGGTCAACTTTCTGTGGCATTTCAGAACGTACAAAGAGTGCGCGTGCATACGGTCGGCGCTCCAGGTAACTCAAAAAGCACGAGCGCACGGTCGACTAAGAATAAATGAGTAAGAAGCAGTGTTCTGAACCGCGTTCATGCTCGGCATTTGTTCCTCATTTCGTTCAACCTTCAAGTGAAATGAATTTGTTTCAGAAAATGCTGACAATACTGACCAGCACTTTATGTCATGCACAACAGCATATCACTTTTCAGCATTGTGGAGGTAAGAGAACTCCGTGCTTGCGCCGTTTGCATTCGAGCATCTCATCCTGATGAGTTGTTTATTTCATATCTAATGTGAAACATTTGGAAAACGACGGCGGAGTATGGTGCATAGCCTAAATTTATCTTAGCTATTGTGCACACCCATTTCATCTAAACACTACATGGCCTTAAATTGCACTATGCTGACCATTGACGGAAGCGACAATCGGTGTATGTTTTGGGATGCCAGGGGCAGTCATCCAGTCCTTGATCGTCACCCCTTGCACCAGCGACCCTTGCGTGATACCTGTGGGCACCCAGATCAACATTACTTTCGAGGTGGAGTCAAGTGAGTCGGCCATCGGGTGCAGACGGTGTTAACTTTGGAATCTGAATTTCCTTTACATAAAGCCCCTTTACAAGGTTCAAAAAGGACAATCTTTGCAGATTTGTGAACTTCAGTCAGCTTTCTGTTTTAGCATACATGGCTCGCACTGACGTCACTCCAGCTGCCTTTGTGGTGCTTTTGCTGATGAACATGTACCTTCAGCAGTGTACAGTCATAGTTGAAGTTGTTCTCAGCAAGAGCAAATAAAAATTACCATCAGCATGGTGCAACGACGCCACAGAGAATTATAGTTTCTTTGCAATAAAGCTCTGAAGTTTTATAGCATGTTTTGACTTCATTGTTAGTTGTAGGTGTCGCATGAAATCTACTTCTTCTGGTCTATAAGCGTATCAGGGAACGTGCCCTCAGTATTCAAGCCATTCCCGAGGCCTTTCTTTAGGTGCCGCCACCTTGCGAGCTGCTTCAGGACCTGCAGAGCAGTGGGGGATACCGAGCCATAGCAGTGCACCGTCTTTCGAGCGCCTATTTTAAATGAAGGAGACAAAGCATTGACACGTCTCATTTCAGACGTCTTTTGACTGATGCTCCGATGGCAAATGTCCCCAGACCAGGACAGCGACAGGGTTCTGTTCGACCCCCGCGTGACTGTGCTGGGTGTACAGCTGCCCATTCCAGGGGTCGAGAAGGATGCTTGCCGCAGTGGAGCTGTCGTCTGCCCCGTGCACAAGGGCAAGCTCTTCGCGGGAACCATCTCGGCCTACGTCTACAACTTTGTACCGTCGGTATGCAACCCCAAACTTCTCCCAGCTCCTGGGGCGGTTTTCTGGGGAGTACGGCTATATCCCATCAGGTAGGAGGTGTTTTAAGGTCATGCGACCGGTTTTGTAAGGGGGAAAAGTACCTAGCATTCCAGCCTATTCTGTCTAGAAGCCGGTCATGCGACAAGAAAATCCTTCTCACGACTGTTTTAACCGTCGGGAGAGACACCCACATTCACCAGCAAACCGTCCCTGGTGACGCTATGTCCTCAAACGCCATTCAACATTTTTTCTAACTACCTGCAAGCTAAAACCGATAGAATTTTAAAAAGTCTCTCTACGAACACAGGAGCAGGAGGGTTGACTTCAGAAGATGCAAACTCGGACTCTTGGCTAGACTTTTGGCTTTCTAACCAATCATACTGCGTTTTGCCTTACGACAAACTGCAGTAGACTCTACAAGCCATCCAAGCCAATCCAGCACTGTGAACATATCAGACTATAAACCCCACACATTGCTGCACCCCTTCTGAAGGCCACGCGACATACATACGCGGCATAGGATAGGCTTCGACGGTTCATGGCATTCGCTGCAGTCCATCGTAAGGCGAAATGGAGTATAGAGGGAACCAAAGGTTAAGTGCACACTCGTAATCCCTATTAGCGCCAAAGTTTGAGTCGGTGACTGCTGTATTCTTCTCAAAACCCGGAATGCTTCAGCTTCTACTGTTGCAAACAAACAATGTACTAGATCAGCCAGCCAATGAGAATCACAGCATGGCACATGGTGCATGATACTATATGTCAACTGGTGTCTCAAACAGGGAAAGCACACAATATTGACATGCAAGGGCACCAGTACTCCTAAACATTTCTGTCACCTCAATTGTAAAAGTATGAGGTGGTGCAACGATATTCAATTGGAATGTTTTTCACTTTACACAAGCTTACTGGCGCTAGTGGGACTCAAGGATAGTCGCACGCAACGCCACCAGCCAAGAAACTCCTTTGTTGTGGTGTAACTTCAAGGACAAAAGCGAGCGTTTTCATTCAATCTCTCCTTCGCAAAACTTGATGATATAGCTGGGTGGTCGCAGTACTGCCCAGTGACTTATTTGAATGTGGCTCATAGATTGGACCCGAGCATTACGTGGGCACTCGATTTGAGCTCGTGATAATCAATAGCTCGAGAAGCATTCGAGTAGTGGCCCGTGTCCAATCGCTGCAATGACAACAATAGCCAAACCATAACGTCTGGAAGTCATCACGTGGCTATGATCAACATTGGCGGCATATAATCAGCTTCAGATCACATGGCCGCTTGTTCTGGCTGTGAGTTGAGGGGCTGGATGCCGCTCATTTTTTCATTTTTTTCTGTGACTTTAATTGCGTGTGGTGAAAAAAGAATGGGTGTTTCACAGGTCATTAACGTCAGGGATCCATTCTAGACGGTATTTGTGCAAAGTACAAAAATTGTTTCAGCGCCCCAAGGCACCAATTTTTGCAACATAAACTTCAAAAGCTAATACTGCACGCTGTAAGCCGGTATCCAAATATGCCTCATATTTGATACATGGATGATCTAGTAATATTGTTTTCAAGTAGTAAATTAAAGCAACACGGCTCTTCTGCTTCCATTATGTTGACATTTTCAACATTAACAAGTGCCATTCCACTTTTTGTTTGCAGCTCACGGTGACCACAACATGGAAGATGGTAGGAGCACAAGGCATCATCGCCTGCGGTGCAACAAATGTAACGATAGTGAGGAAGTAATGCCTTTATTTTAAATACCAACGAATGAGGACATAAATGAACAGGATGTGTAAATGAAACACTTTAACCCAACATTAAAGGACAAGTCTACTCCATGCATTTAACTGTCCTTCTTAGTCCATTGATTGAAAGTGTGGAGTCCGCACGATTTTCGATAACATTGTCCTAGTTGAACAGAATGTTTCGCCAAACAATGCAAATCGAAGACTGACCGATTACAGTCGAAACACATTCCCTTTGGATGCAATGCCGCTTCGTTTTTTTGCCCAATAATCATAAACGACAACACCAAAGTGCGAAAAGAAGCAGCAGCCACATAAAGGGTCGCTCCCATGGTAAAAACCGGCAAAATCAAAAAGCAGTTCATTCGGGGCCGTGATCTTCACTCAAAGTGCCGTTAAAAAGCACCATGCCCAGCCCTTCGGGAAAAAAAAACCCTGGCTTAAACCCCACTATAGTCGATGACAGGTTAAAAGGTTGGGGGAAGCTCCTTCCACCTCTTTCTACTAAAACAGAGCAAATGCTGGAGAGGAGGTCGCCTCCTTTCCAGCGTTCGCTCCAACAAAGTGAAAAGAGGTGGGAGGGACTTCCCCCGAGCTTCTAACCTGTTGCCAACCACAGGCGAGCCTTTCGAAACAGTCACACCAATCTAAAGACTGCACAACCAGAGGCACGACACTTCGGCTGACTTGTTGCAGCTACGGTGTCTGCAACGCGTCACCGACTGGTGCATTTAGCATCCTATTCCGCCCATGCGTCCAAAGGTGGCAACAAGTGACCTCACAAAAACCAGAGAAAACCAAAAACCGGATGTCGCAATCCTGATGGTTGGGCGCAGAAGTTCTAACAAAAAGTAGGAGCTAACGTCGTCGTGGCGGCCCAACTTGTGGCCTCCAAAGCTTCGGTGGAAACGACCTGCAGCAGAACAGGCGTCTGCCACACCTGCCACCCCTCTTGCGACACAGTCCGGATTAACAGTTGGCAGCTCAACACTCCTAGGATGACGTCAGGCGGAAGCCGAGGGACCGCCTCTTTGGACGCAGCGGACGCACCAGTCGGAGACGCGTACTGCGCGTTGCGCCGTCGCAGCCGTCAGACAAAACGCCGGAAGGTTCGGTTGCCCATCAACTGACGGTGTAGCACTCGACCGTGGCCCCGCTGTCGAACTCAACCCCCGACATGTCCACCATCTCTACGGTCTCCTCGGTGACGGTGGCAAACTCGCCGACGCCAGAGTCCGCCGTGTCTACAATTTGCATGATGTTGAGCACCGAATCGTCCCCGGTCTCGGCCGACACGACCGGCACGGTTGCATGCTCGATGTAGACCGGCTTGGCGCGTCCGGCCCGGGTGACTGGGGGCACCCCCACCGCCTTGTGCACCTGCAGGAGGTGCTTGGCGAGCTTGCGGCGCACCACAAAGCCCCGGGCACAGATGGGGCAGAACACGGCGTAGTTCTTGGTGTGGATGTTCACCGTGTGGTACTTGAGGTTGGTCGGGTTGCGGAAGGTGAGGCCACAGTGCTGGCACAGGTAGGGCCGCTCCCCGGTGTGAACCCGCAGGTGCATGGCCAGCACGTTGCTGCGCCCGAACACCTTGCCGCAATAGTCGCACTCGAACAGCTTGCCCTGGGTCCGCCCCGTGTGCTTCTCCAGCTTGTGCACTGCGAGGCCGCTTTGGTAGCGGAAGGCCGAGCCGCACACCTCGCACACGTGGGACTTGACCAGCACGCGCGGGTGGTACCTGGGACGGAAGACGAAGGAGGCGCGTGAATGTCGCAGCTGAGCCGCGCAAAGAACCTACAGCCACGTGGCAGCTCCAGCGAAATAGACGACACCTAGTGGCCAGAACGGAAAGCTGTGGCAATGGGTTTGCTCGCCAGCCTTCTCAAACGAATCAGATATTTGCGGCGCCTAGTGGTCTAAAGATGAAGCGGTGAAAGTGGGTCCAAAAACATGCGGTGAAAATTGCCAATAGGCCTCGCGGTCCAGTCGTGAGGCAGTTAGAAACCATACGACATACTGCTTGAACGTGCCCAGGATTGGTGCGATAATAATCGACTATTGTGTAAAGCTTGGGCGTCTGAGCCAATACATGACCTCACTTTGGAGAGATGAAAATAAAAATGACTGAACCTCAAGAATTGCTTCCTGTGTTCATACTTTCTTAGCACAATACCGAGAGCTTTGGTGTTGCCCCCTTTAAGAAAACTTGGGTCATTCTTGCAGTGCTCACAAAACCTCTAATGAAAGCCAAAAAATTTTAGGCTCTCTATAAGAATTACGCCGACACCCAGTGCCACAGATTGTGCGCAACATTTAAAAGGTGCATGCCTTAGCACAGAGTTCACCACCTGTTCTGACTATCACAAGAACCTGTGCGATGAAAGTACTGCCGATATGAAGACTCGGTGAAGCTTACATCATAAGCTGATAATTGGCACCTGAGTAGTAGTAGTATGCGTTGTGGGGGGGATGCTCCAGTGAAAGACTGACAATTATTATCAGTTGCCTAAATACTTCTCAAGTGCAACTGAATTCACAATCACACACCTACTGCCGTATAGGTATACTACTGTGATAACTACAAAGCAGACAAAAAAGGTTTTGCAGAATCTTGAAGCATTAGTACTAAGTGTATTCAAAGGGGTACTGCAATGAAATTCTAGAGCCTGTTTTATTGTCTGTCAACCACATTATGGTCATACCACAAAGACACTAATTTTGCATTCGAAAAGACAGAAAAACATTTTTTCAAATGAATAAACTGATTACCAGATTGCACCTCATTCCCAAAGCTACTTCGAATGTGGTTATGTCCCACCTGCTATTAAAGCAGCGCCGCTTTGTAGAAGTGCAGCAACAAGCTGCGTGCGCACAATCCCTGTCAAAGTTGGCAGAGTCAAATTTTCCTTCTCTCCAGCACCTATTCAATTAGAGTGGAAAGCGGGCCAGGTAGTAACTCGTTGCCACCACCAAGTAGCGCCACTCACAACCACGCCAGCCTCCCGTAGCCTTGCCGATAAAGTTAAACATGACGTCACGAACGCGCTGGAGGCGCCGAATTTTCCGAGACACATCTTGCTCTCCGATGGCTGCTCTTTGAGTGCTCGCTGGAATGGGCCGTTTAGAACGAAAAATATAGCCATCCATTCAAAATACAAACGTGTGATTGTCATTAGCAGATTTTGTTGACCGTGTTCAACCTATTTTTGAATGTGAAAGGTATATTTCAATTTTCATTTCAAGATCCCTTTAACGTTCATGCTTTAGAATTTATGAAGTTATATTTTGAACTCTGTTTGCCGTTTGGTTTTGTATGCATCTGTGTTCTGCTGTGCATCCTTTCTCTTACACGTATTGTTGTGCCGCCGTAGTGCCTAGCATTGACCTCAGCAGGTGACATAAAAGCTTGCACTACGGACTTGTCAACAAGGTGTGCGTGCAAGGAGATGACGAGCGTCACCTGCGGACATGGTTGACCCTCTGGCCGATGGTGCGGAAGCGCTGGTGGCACAGCCGGCACTCGAACTGCAGCTCTTTCGAGTGCCGCTTCTCCACGTGCTCGTTCAGGGCCGCCTCCGTGTCAAAGTGGTGTCCGCACTCGACGCACCCGTGGGACGTCCCGTTTTGGTGGAGCTCCACGTGTGCCTCGAACTCGCACTGGTCCTGGAAACGGGGTCACAAAACGTCCTGGATCGGGCAACAAAGAACTTCTCCCGGTTGGAATGACCGGATGCTTTACCCGCGTTACCACCAGGGAGCCTGGCTCGTCTGCATTGCTGCACCTGACTTGAGCTTCTCGCAAATTCGCGAGTGCGAAGCTTCCTCAGGTTATGCACGGAAAGACTTTTATTCCGAGGCTGCCGCCGACTTGGATTAATATTCATGACCTGCTTTTACAGTTTGGTGTCAGCCATCGGGCATCGAGAATCCTTTGTGCGGCCAGGAATGGTTGTAGCCACACTCCCGTTTCTCCGTACAATGGACCGCAGTGGATGCCACAAGCCATCCCAGCCAATTCAGCGCCACGAACGCGTTGCGCGACAAGACGGCCTGCGTATTGCTGCTCTCCTCCTGAAAGCCGCGCAACATTCGTGCAGCGTTGTACTGGCTCCGACGGCTCTTAGAATCCGATACAGTCCGTCGTAAGGTGAAACAGAGTACAGCCTCATGCTTTGGTTCACTAGAACTGTCGCATAATAGGCTTCTGGTAAATTGGGAACCGTGTAAGGTGGGTTGAGCTCGGTTTGCATTCTTAAATCAATGTTTTGCCAATTTGATTTCTGCTTCTTCTTGAAAGGTGAGGTGGCAATAGTAAAGACTTGTCAAGCTGGCTCAGGACGAGTATGAACAAAGAGACACAATTTGTTAATGAATCCTGGTACCAAACTGAAGCACGGACTGTACAAAATACCGGTAATGAGCACGATCCTTGCTCGCCCTAATTTGGCCTTTTTCGAACAGTTTGTCCACCTACCTGGAAGAGCCTTGGACAGTGTGGACACGCCACCTGGTCCTTGGGGTGGATGATGTGTTGATGCCGATTCAACTCCTCCCGCGCCGCGAAGCGCCGCGGACAGTCGGGGCACTCGTGCGGGTAGACGCCCGTGTGGGAGGCGCGGTGGCGCTCGAACCTGCCCATGCTCATCGTCTGGAAGCTGCAGTCAGGGCAGGTGTGCAGCGTGCGGCCCTTGCGCACGGCCGACGCATGCATTTTGGCCACATGCTCTGTCTTCTCCTTGACCGTGGCGAACTTGTGAGGGCACAGGTCGCAGCCGTGCTCGTGGTCGAACAGATGGATATTCCGCATGTGACGGCTCACGCTGAACGACGTCTGGAAGCACTTGCTGCAGAAGAGGCACTTGTACTTGCGAGCCGCCTGCCGGTTGTGCTGGTTCATGTGCTTGATGAGACCCACGTTGGTGGTGATGCCCTCGCCGCAGCGCTCGCACACGTGCCGCACCGTGTTAGGGTGGCGCTTGATGTGCTCCTTGAGGGTGCGGTTGTTTTTGAACTCCTTCTTGCAGAGCGGACACTGGACGGGGGCCTTGGGAAGCCTGCCTGCGGGCACCGCTTGGGGTGCCCCAGGCTTGTGTGACTTCAAGTGCTCCTGGTGCAGGCTGTAGTCGAGGGATAGGTTGCCGCACGGCTCGCACGTGTAGATGACCTTTTCCGCGTGCACATCCTGGATGTGCTGGCACATCTCGTTTGCCTCAGACGTGGAGAAGTCGCACAGCTGGCAGGCCACCATCTTCTTCTGTTGCCGGGCCACGGGGCACTTGAGCTCGTGAGCTGTCCGCAGCTCGGCGTTGAAGAAGGGCGAGTCGCAGTGGCAGCAGCGGTGCGGGGCGCGGTCGGCGTGCTCGGCCTGCATGTGTTTCTCTAGCTCGCGCTCGCTACGTACTTTGGTCGAGCAGAGCTTGCAGTGTAAGGGACCCCCGTGGTACACTCGCATATGGATGCGCAGCAGGCCGTCGGCCACGAAATGTTTGCTGCATTCGGTGCACTTGAAGGACTTTTTACGGGGTCGGCCTGGCTTGTCCCGCTTCGGCGCTTGCCGTCTCAGCCCCGTACGCTCCGGCGTGTCTCTCAAACCGCCCGCGTCGTCGGAAGGCGACGACGGAGACGCGTCGCAGTGGGATCTTACGTGATCCACCGCGTCCTGCTCGATTTTGGTCTGGTAACTGCACACGGAACAGACGTAGATGGGGACCTGCCCCACGAACGGCGACGGGGTCGTCGCCGATGGATCGCTGTGGACGACGAGGTGCGTGGCGCCGGACTCCTGTTCGACGACGATCTCGCAGGCCGTGGGAGCGCCGACGGGATTCGGAGGGGGAGCCGGCGGCAACGGCGGAGCGGGAGGCGGTTTCCGCGGTTCTCCCGCATCGCGATGCTGGGCCGCTCTGATCAAACACTGGGCCGCGCGAGCGTCAGCGTCGCCCACGACGCGGACGGCGATGTTCTGCTCGATGTAGCGTTGGTCGAGCAGGGTCGGCTTCTGTCGCACGACGGGCACGCGCTGTACCTCGTTCACGTAGGTGAACCGCGACGACGCTCGGTGAAGATTGAGCTCCAGCGTCCCGCCCTTGGGGACGCCGTCCGGGAAGACGAGGTCCACGGACGTCGGGAGCATGTCCAGGTTGATGTCCACCTGTATCGTCATTGCGGGTAAAACGAATAAAGCGCCCTTGGCGCTGTGGCATTAAAGTTCGTCGAGGAAACGACGCGACACCGAAGCAGTCACGGGGAGTCGATCGCTCCGCAAAAATTCACGCATTCGGCGCTAACGAACGAACGAATAACAATAAGGCCTATCGGGTAGATAAATACAAAAATTACAAAGATTTGTGAATTGGGTAGTGTATAGCGCCATCTAGCCTCAGTATAACACGATAATAACTACGTATTATATCTTGGCTTGTAAATAAAATAAAATTAGAATGTATATTTTAGAATAAAGTTCTGCGCAGTTCGAAACTGCTTCTGCTGCAATGCTGAAAACGCTACAACGGCACCTTGAAAACGCCGCAGCGCGGCAGCTGTGATCTCTAGCTAGTAGGGAGCCTACATACTCGCCGACTCCGTCTGTAGGGTGGTGTCATCCTTTGACACACCACTCGCCGCCGCCCGCCGCCCACCAGTGTTGCCAGCATCGGTTGCCATGGCCACCAGAAGGCGCCGCGCCATCTTGGTCCCCAGACCGCCCGCCCGCCCGCTGCCCGCTCGGCGCTCGTCCAGCCAGGCTGGCCAGGCCTAGCTTCGGTACTCGCAACGGCGTCGCACCGTGTTCATTCTCCGGCTGGTGCTGGTGTGTTTTGCGGAGTCGTTCGCAGCGAAGAAGTGTGGTAACAAGAGAGGCGTGAGAAGCAGAAATGCCTGGCTGTTCTGTTCCGCAGTGCACGAACCACTGCAGACGGGGCACACGTATGTTCCGCTTCCCGAGTAGTCCTACTCGAAAGAAACGTTGGCTCGCTCAAGTCAAACGAGACCGCTGGGAACCCACTGCAGCTGCTCGTGTTTGCGCCGTGAGTATAAGTTTTGTTGCACCTTGATCGCAAGTGTAAGTGGGATGTTTAGCGTCACTCTGCAAAAAGCGAGCGTCTCCGGTTGCGCGTCGGGAGCACATAAACAACGTCGCGAGTTCCGAATTCGAGCCTTAGCGGCATTGCAATATCACAGATTGAGACGGAGCCTGCGTTCTCCGTATCAGGGTTTGCTCGCCGCACGTCGATCTCAGGACGCGCGCGTTGCACACGCGTTTTGAATGCACCGATGAGGGTACCGGGACATTTCATCGAACGCCGATTCATCGCACGCCGTTTCATCGAATCACTTGACGCTGTTTCATCGAATTTCCCTTTACTGAATTTTGGAGTAATACAATACTTTTTACGTAATCTACTCTCGTCTCTGAAATAGTTTTGGCGCCGGTCGAAATTCACCGGGAATAGAATTACTACCCGGTCAATTTTTTGTCCACCTAAACGTTGACTACTGAATCATAGAAGGTAGCTATCATATCAGAACTTGATGGATACGCGACTTATGCTTTTCTGGCGAGGTAGGCGGAGTTTCTCGGCCACACACTTTTTCCCACTTCATCTGTCTATTTATTGCCTTTCACCGCAGTGAAAGTGCCTTTCACTGCGTGAAACGCACTTTCTTAAGAGGGAAACAGCTATTCTCTGCAGCACCTTTTTTATTTTGTATTTGTCGATTTACCTGTGTTTTCATTTTATCCTAGGAGAATTGCTTTCTTTTTAAGAACATATATGTTCTTAAAAACGACGAGTCTCCCCTTTTCGTTAATTTATTGTAACCGACAGAATTGTGGACTTGTCCGATCTTTGACACATCTTTATTTCCCCCGTATCATGGGACACGGAGACAAGCTGCTTCAAGGACGGCTTCGTCTTGAAGCAGAATCTATCACTGCACCTGATGATCACAGCTTTAAAAATGTTCGTTAGTGCTCCCGTTTCTTATTGGCCTCATTAACGGAGGTCATCATTTATTAAAAAAAAATAGAAGGTGACCAAAAAGATTTCTTCTTTTTATATATGTATAAGTTTATAAATTATAATAAATATTAAAACACTGCTATCCTCCCGGCGCTAAAAGAAAGAAAAATATTTCCTAGATGTAGAATTCCTACTGCTCAAGCAGGTGGCGTTCGATGAAACGGCGTTCTCTGAAACGGCGTTCGATAAAACTGCGCTTGATAAAACTGCTTCGATAAAACGGTGTTTTATGAAATGGCGTTCAAAGAAATATCCGGACCCACACCGATGAGTACTATCAAGTTTGTTCGGGAAACAAAAATACAAGCTTCGTTTACCAAGCTGCTGCAAACAACGGTTTGGCTCAGGATTTATATTAAAAAACAAGGGTTTTGAAAACATTTTGATAAGGACCTAGTTTTTGCTTACTCGATTTTTCTCGACTTGTTCAGCTTCCAAAAATATTTCTTGAACACATTTTTCGCAAGCCTCTTCACCACATAGTGGTTCGTTCACAGGATTAAATTTTTGGGATTGATTTCAAATCGAGAAATTAAAACATTGCTAAAATTAGGTAGTTTTCAGTAATTTGATTAAGTCCCGTATGCAGGTGTGTATTGGATACATTGATCCAGTAATGCCTCTTCTGTTTTTTCGTTTGGCTAACGCTTGACTAGCGAAGCAACAGCAGACCTCACGTAACAACTGTGAGTGTGTTAAAAAAATTTAGTTGGTGATGGAGTTCACTCCTAATTCTGTTTATAGTGTTAGTCAACTAAACAAGCAGGCACAGTGCTGTCTTTGGAGTATTTGCTAACTAATTTAAAATTCACTTTTTTTTAGGCTCATTTTGAGGACAGCAGTTTCGAACAAAACCGGCAGGACGGGTTGAAAAAACTGAGGCCAGATGCTGTTCCAACACTTTTTCCTTATCGTGGTAAGTTTTAATATTGTGTAAGCATGTTCATAGGTCTATTTGAGTGGACTTCTGAACTTCCAAGGGTTTATTTTTGTGTAATATTTTAAAACTGTTCTTTCCCAGCATTTTCTTGTTACACAATGCATGCTTAATGTAACATTCTCTCTGAACTACAGTCTTATATTCTCGTCTTTTGTAGACTTCGTAAAAAGAAATATGGACAGACTAGTTCTCACAGTACCAAGATCGTTAATTGTTAAACAGTTTGAACAACTAGACGTGATGCGCAAACAGTTTGGGTCCGCAACCTCTAAAGCGTTTGAATGCCGCCTGGCAACACTCTATTATTTATTTCATAGCATTCTATCTAGTACCTAAGGACTGATAAAGAAAACCTGTATATTTTTAATATTGTGTTTTTTTCAGTCTCTTAAAAATGCATATGCATTAATACTAATGTATATATGTTTATTGACTTTTTACAGCCATCCCAAAACACAGAAAGGCCCCCAAAAAGCGTGCTCAGGGATCAACAGCCATTCCATCACCACCAACTCTACATGGCAGCACAAGCGACGCGAACCGTGCTGCTTCACCTATGCATGCTTGTACAGTGATGGCTACCCCACTGCCAGAAGCTCTCGACGTCACTGCCACAGACACTGCTCAGTCCAAGCGTGCGTGTGCAGCAACAGCCGTTCCATTGCCGTTAACCTTTGACGACAGTGTAACCACCAAGGACAATGCTCCTCGATCAAAGCGTATTTGTGCAGCGGCAGACATTCCACTGCAACTTGCTCTCGCCGACATTACAAGCAACATAAACAACGCTGCTCAGTTCAGGTATGCTTGTGCAGCAACAGCCATTTCTATGCCACTAGCTCTCGACATCTCTGCAAGCAGCACAGACAACGCCCCAGCCAAGCGTGCCTGTGCAGTGACGATTGTTTCAATGCCGTCAGCCCCCGACGAGAGCGCAACCACTACGAACAGTGGGTCCGATACTTGCTGCTCATCGGCAGCCTTTTTACGGCAACCAGTTCTCGACAACAGTGCAAGCGACATGGACAATGCTGCTCAGTCCGAGTATGCTTCTGCAGTGACAGCCGTCCGTCAGCCACTAGCTTTTGATATCTCTGCAAGCAACACAGAAAATGCTTTATTCATGCAGGATTGTACAGCGACAGCCGTTTCACTGCCCTTAGCCCCAAACGACAGTGCAAGTACCACAGACAATGCTCCCCGGTCAAAGCATACTTGCACAGTGACAACCGTCCCACGGCAACAACCACCTCTCGACAATGGAGAATGTGACCCGGACCACCATGCTCGATCTCCCCTTTTCATTACCCCAGAGCCCAGGTCTGAGCTTGTTTGTTCTACTGCATTGGAACAACCCGGTGGTTTTCCAGTTCCAATTGTTCAGGAGCTGAAGGAAAAATTGCAGCCTGAAGTCTGGTCTTCAGAAGGACTAACAAGCTCGTCCGCTGTTTTCACGTTTGGAAGTAGTACCACCCAAAGTATGTTACTGATGCATCGCCAAAACTCCGAGCTTCGAAAGAAAAACTCCGATCTAGCCCGGAAGTACCGAACCTTGCAAAGGCTCCATGATGAAGCCAAATCAAGACTGCGAAGTCTCACAAAAAAACTGACATCAGCTCAGAAAGAAATAAGTGCTTTGAAAAGTTCAAGATTTCTGAACACAGACCAAACAAAGGCTTTGACTGTGAAATCAATGAAGGGACATAAGTGGTCAGAGAAGACTATTCGAGTTGCCCTTCAAATTAAGCACGCATGCGGTACATCAGGGTATGAACTGCTGAGGTCCCTGTCATATCCGCTACCCTCGAACAGAACGTTGATTCGGAGACTCCAACACATTAAGTTTCTGCCTGGGGCTCTTGACGAAGTTTTTGAAGTGCTAAAGCGGAAAGTGCAGACTATGGAAGACATAGAGAAAGACTGTGTTCTCTTTATGGATGAGATGGAGATTAGTCAGGGATTTGACCACGACAGTTCGCTGGATCGTATTTTTGGAAGCACCACACTCCCAGAATCCCGTGTGAATGTTGCGAACCATGCCCTTGTGTTTATGGTTGGGGGATTAAACACGCGGTGGAAGCAAGTGATTGCATACCACTTCACTGGACGATCAACTGACGAAAGTGCTTTGAAGGAGCTTGTCTTTCATCTCATTGAACTATGTTTCAACATCTCTCTCAAGGTGCTCATAGTTACAAGCGACATGGGATCAGCAAACCGTGCTGTGTGGCGTCTGCTCAACTTTTCAAATCACAGGCACTCTGAGACCGTGTGTTCTGTCCCACACCCACACCTCGACGGGAGACAGCTCTATTTCATGGCTGATCCAGCGCATGTTTTAAAAA